CTATAGACCGCATGTAAAACCAATTCTGAAAAAATAGTCAATAGTATCCTGTCAACATAACATCCAATTTAAATTATGATCATCGTAATCTTTTAAACTGTAATAGATTAGTATAAAAATTCTAATGATGTACGACATATATATATTAATATGGTACAGGAATAATCCAAGTAATTTTTCACAGGTAGGTAATTACTGATAGTACAATACTACTTTCCAAGTGTTTATTTTATGTGTATAAAAGAGTATCGAATTGTAATTTAAAAAAACAAAAACAAAACAATTAAGGAGACAAGTTATGAGTTGTGAGAAGAAAGGTATTTATACAGCATAGAAAAACTGGGCCAAGTTTATAAAACGTTTGAAAATATTAACAAGGCTCCTGCTTTTCTATAGAGAGTTTATTGTAAATCTATTATGATTTGTAAACGTATAGGTGAGTAATAACTTTTAGAATTCTTCCTCTTTATGAGTATTTATAAAATAGCTCTATTTTTTACCTTTATTTCATATTTAGTAAGCAAAGATATTTTCAAACTTATAGTAATATATTCTAGTAGATATTCTTTGACTCATTAATCTGATTAGAAAGGTTGCGGTTGCGACTCTTGTACAAAAGTTTATAGACGTGTATGAACATCCAGAAACACCTGTCAATTAACTAACTAAACATAGCTTTTGCCAAACAAGCTATGTTTAGTTAGGGTCTAGAAAACGATCTTTTAGATATTTTATAGGAGTTCGTACCAAATGTTTTACTACTTGTTTATACTATATACAATATATAGGCACCATCCTATTGAGTCCATAAATATGTGTTGAAGCATAGCTCTCACGTCAAAATATAGTATCTGTATAGTGACTACAATTTGTTAAGTTTATTTGACAACATTACCATTTTCAAAAATATGCTATAAATAAAAAAAAACAGCTTCATCATGTTCATTATTATAACAGTAGGTTAGTATTATTATAGTACGTATAGAGGGCGCATTAACACGACACATATGAACATATGTTTAGCTCGTAACATAACAAAAATGCCAAATCATTATGTATTTATTACTTATATAAAAACTTAAATACGTAGTTAAGTATAAATATACTTTGTTAACACTAAATAATAAAATCCTTTTTGCTTACTTTAAATTTAAGACCCATATTTATTTAATCAATAATTTTGCACATAGTACCTTGTCGAGTATCGTATTGATCAAGAGATAACATCTCGAAAAATCGTCTTTAATCATCTACGATTTTTCAAAATTTTGTTACAGCACGATAAAAATAGAATATATTTCACAAACAATCATAAATTAAATTTGGTTTATAAACGATTGTATTACTTCAATGTGTATTTTAAAACCACGTCGTACATGACCAGTACGGGTTTCCCATATTCCTTTGTTTAAAATATTATTAGATTAGAAACTTGCTAAAAATCGCGTTGTGACAAAAAAACAGTACGATACTGGTACTGCTACAGGAGGGAGAATCAAGTTATTCACATAATATGACGTCACTTCGTTAACCTCCGTTACACATGGCTTGTTATTTTATGCTAGGTTAATTAATTTAATACATAATGTTACACACATTAATTTAATACATCCTGATACCTGAACCTATTTGTTATATCCAATATATAATTTGTAAAGAAACCTAAAAATATTTTATTACATGAAATGAGGTAGTATCCGTCTCTCAAAATTTTAGAAGGACTCACTTCGTTCTTCTAAAATTAAATCAACCTACTAAAACCACAGAACCTACTTAACTTGTTTACCAGAACTATATAAACGGTAGTATTTCCCAAACATCTTGCGTGTTTGGAAAATACTGAATTAAAAAACAAGATTATAACGATACGAGAGTTGAAACTTCATTAAATTCTTTTCTACCAGTTCAAACGAATCTGTACCCGGAAATACGAAATAGTATTATACTAGTTTAACCACAAATAACGTAATTAATGTACGCCCCCTTAAAGTATTAAGGGGGCGTACATTAATTACATGAGTTGATTTTAGCGATTTTTCGACACCCCTGTCCGTCTGGTAAGATGTGATTATTGTATATATGTATGTGATATATGTATTATCTCACGTAAGATTTTAAAATATCTGTTTTTTGTGTTAGTTAGTATATTGATGCGTTGGATTTTTTAACATAATAAACATAATTTTGACATTTATGATGTTAATTTAGAACTACTGAAGTTTAGTATTTAAAACAAAATTATCTAAAATAACAGTGAGGAAAAAAGAAACTATAATTCGAATATTCATTCAAATTCGGTCCGTGGGGCTCATGTGCAATTTCAAGAGTGAATACAATCGTGCTACACCGTTGCTATGTGACGATTGTGTTTTCTTAGGATTTCACGATGTTACTTAAGGAATAAAAATTATGTGCTTATTACCAAAGCCCTCCGTCTCCCCGCATGAGATTAAGTGAGATTTCTTTCAACCTATTCCCCCATAATATCTTACGCCCCTTATCTTCTTTACTCACATGCACTGGCATAGCTGCAGGGTTGAGAACCCGTCGGGCAATACTAATTTAAATACTATTGTGCCCTACCTCTCATAAAATTTACAAACATGTTTTGTATCGTTTTCAAACCCAACTCGTCGCGTCGGATACATCGTCATTTCCTATCCTAATACTATAATGTATTTGTATACACAAATCTATAAAAAGTACTACTTCTAAAAGGTGACAGATTTGATTGACAAAATCTCTACATTAACACAAGGAAAGCTATTGTTGAAAGCTTATGTGGTCATAGACTGTATATTTTGTTAGATAAGGAGATGGCTTTGATTTTGAGAACGGCGATGACTCATTATTTGCGTAAAAACCTTTGGGAAAAGTTATGCAAAAGGTTATGCATAACGCTAGGGAAAGGTCAACTTATTATGATACATGATATGATATTGTATTAGTATGAGATATCAGTTTTGAAATTAAATAAATTAATAAGTAAATTATTACGAAGAAGAAAATATTAATTACTGAACTAGAAACCATTTTAGGATTTCGGGACCCATAGTGTAAAACGGTACCCTATTACTAAGACTCCGCTGTCCGTCTGTCTGTCCGTTTGTCACCAGGCTGTATCTCATGAACCGTGATAATTAGACAGTTTTCACAAATGATGTATTTCTGTTGCCGCTATAACAATAAATACTAAAAACAGAATTAAATAAATATTTAAGTGGGGCTCCCATACATCAGACATGATTTATTTGCCGTTTTTATAGATAATGGTACAGATCCCTTCGTGCACGAGTCCGACTCGGTCTTGGCAGGTTTTTTATGTTAATTTTCCAATTGTATGGGTGCTCTTTGGAACAATGAACTAAGTAAAATTTGGTCAACACGTAGGGTGATAATACTTATAAAAACAATTAGTAATTTATATTATCCTAGAATCTACTTAGTTTAGATATTTATCACATTGAAGAAAGAGAATTTGGGAGTGAGTGAGTGAGTGAGGAGTGACTCACGACTGCTCATGATCGAGCGCAACACGGCATTTCTAGCCTAGTTTTAAATCTTCTATGGTTCAAAGGAGATGCGGCCTTGTTAGCAGATATCACAGAACAGGCAAAGATTTTCTCTTTTACTTAGTACAACAGGCATGATGATTTCATAAATTCCGACTGAATGCGCTCTAAATATCACTGAAGCAATTCAGCAGACACTAAAGAGTTTTTCACTTTCCGAATGAATTTTACTCGTAAGTGTTTTAGAATTAAGTTTAAGTTTCAAAATCGATCTAAGGAGAGGCCTATGTCCAGCAGTGGACTGCGATAGGCTGATGGTGATGATGTTTTAGTTTTTTTAATGAATTTTTAAGCACATTAATTAATGTACAATTCAAGATCAGAAATATATGTGTCCCTAGTTTCTTCGTGGGAATATTTCTCTACTCGTGGCATTGTTCATTTTTCACATAACAAAGTGTTGAGTTAACCTACTATCTGTTGTTTTATGTCACTGGTTTTCATTATTATTAATCTCATGCTATGTATTTTAAATAACTAACCATTAATAACCTATTGATAAAATTATCGGAACTAACGGTAGCAATATGGTTACAAGGAAAAGAACTTGAAATATGTTCGAATAGAAAAACGAGTGTACGACACCTAAAATGCTCCAAACTACTACACTATTTTCTGACGTAAAAAAGTCAAACTAAAACTTGATTATGTTTTTGAATTTAGTATATTCAACACTACGCACTAATTACACGAACGTTTCATAAAACGATATATTGATAAGAACTAAAGTTTGCTAAACATAAGTCTTTCCTGTCATTTTTATTGTTCTGTTTACACACTGTGTAACTTAAATCATCTAAAGGATACCTATCAGCGGAAAGGTTGAAGTCTTCTGTAGTGTGGGCTTACTTAATTTCGTAATAATACGAATTGTACTGTAGCAAAGATGATGTGTAACCGTGGATTAGGAAATGTTTTGCGACAGTTGAGTTTAATGAGCACACTGGGTGCCTTGTCACTAAAACTGTCTTGCCTAAAAACTTATGACGATGTAAAAGAAATCTACCATAATATTAATTCTTTTTGGCGTTAAATTTAAGTTTAAATAAAATTATAAACAGCTGCGTGATCTGCCACCAGATATTGCCATTTTTAATTAAATTTTTGTCTATAACTTTTAGAAAAAGCATTATGTGGATTATAGATGAATAAATTGAACAGAAACAAATATTTAGACACAGAATAAAAATCTACAAGTAACACAAGTAATCGTATCCACAATACAATGCATTGCGAAGTGACTATGCACTACTGAGTCATCAATGCAGTGAAAGACAATAATTTTAAAGAATATCATGCAATGTAAATTACATATTATTAATGTTGTAAAAGTAGTGAGTAAAATATAATTCATAACTAAACGTGGATTTAAATTCGCACATCTCTTGTATAAATTTGAGAAGTTTTACTACATATATGTAGTGTTACCTATTTGCTTCTTGAAACGAAATGTAAATGATAGGGCAAGACCGCTGATCATTGTAGCCGAGACGAGCAGTAATCCCCAGTTAGTGAGGTAGATCAACCAATATGGGCTGGCGCCTTCGACGAGGGACCACGTAAGTATGGCGAGTGCTGAAGATGTGAGTAGCAACCGCACCAATAACAGTGGTAACACAGACTCTCCCCGTTGCCATGACGACGTGTAGAAGTCGCTCAGTCTGTCGTGTGTCGACACCCCGAGTGCCGAAAGAGATACGGTTCTGAATTTCACCATTTTCTTCACTCCAATGTCTTTAATTCACTTAATTAAAAAAACCACTTATAGTTTACATTTATTCAGCACATTGAGCACATCGTATCGGTCCGACTTTAACGAGCCCTATACTGAGAAGGTGGATGTTATATGAAATTGTATTAGATAAGAGGAGTGTCAATTATTAGATAAGACTTTACAATAGTACTGAAAAATTGATGCCGATGAGAGATTTTTACCAATAAAAATACATATTTTTTTTTAAAGTTGTTGGTGTTGCGCGAGCGCAGACGCGCTGAGTTGCGAACGCACACTGGTACTCGTAACAGGCGAATCGAAGCACTGAGTTGCGCGAACGCCTCAGAGAGACTGATACTTGCGTAAGTTATAACCTTACTTATGTAATTAGTTGTTGTCTCAAACCAAACTGGGTTGTGCTGTCTCATTTCTCAATAAAGTGTGAAGCTGGTTGCTTAAGGAAGTTAAAATCTATTAAAATAATAAGCCTTTCATTAATACATACCTAACAACTTACCATGTACATTCTTTAGAGTTGTGATAAATAAATTCTTTACCTTATCATAGTAATCTAGCTGTTGCACAGTTATCCGTGACAAGACTGCATATAACTGATATTACAATAGTCAGAAAATAGTATAAATTTGAGAAGTTTTGCTACATATATGTACCGTTACCTATTTGCTTCTTGGAACGAATTGCAAATGACAGGTCAAGACCGCTGATCAAACAATGTTTGACGGTTTTGCCTCATCCCAGTAACCTGTACCCCGGCTTCTGTAATTGCTTAAATGTGAAAAACAAGAGTCGATGATACGTGATTAATCATCCGTCTACAAACTAAAAGACGCAACTAATTTTACTATTATGTTGAATGGACTATTAGGCTGTAGTAGCCCTTTCTACGGACACTATTTACAATTAGTAAATCGTTCCACTGTTACAATTTCGTTATTTGCAATAACACCGTTACACTCTCTCGATGTCGATTGCATTGTTACTTAAAAATGATGAACTCTATTATTTCAAAGTCAAGTTAGTTGCTCAAAGCCTTGACTATCAAACGAGTATTCTACATACGTTGACATTTTATGGGAATACCCATAACAATCGCATTCTTCAAACGAATAGACTGCCACCTATAGCGTCGCACTGCTTAGGGCATGGCCCGCCTTGGCCCTAGTGCAAATACGCCACTCACCTCCAGGAATTAATAACGAAGACACGCTGAGCTACGGAGCACTTACTGATGCTGCAGTGCGTGCCAATTTCTATACAAATATACGAGTTCAAAACATCGACCTTTATTGGGTATGATCACTTAACCTGCTCGGAGGAATATCTGATTGCGATGGAGGGACCTCACAGCCTTTTCTTTTATTTGTATTCGTCCTAAACAAACGTTTATTCACTTTATTTGTTTTTAGGAACACTTGACAATACACGAAAGATAAAAAATTGGTATCGATTTGCGATAAAGATGTTATAATTATCTTATAGAAATTTTATTATCCATTTAGTTTATGGCTTGATGCTTAACTTGGGTTAGGTTTGCCTATCTTGGGTCATTCTTAATATTGTGCGATAAATAATAAAAGGACCCAATGGTCGAGGTTCTAACCAACCCTGGCCGCCTAGGGTGGTTCATCTCATTGATTTTATTGGCTCATCAGTCCATTTTGCCATGCGGTTCCACCTGCCCATTAATATTTATTTTGGAAATTACTGTCCGATAAGTTTTGATGGGCCAGTTGTGTTTTACAGAAAACTAATTATTGTTAGGATTAACTTGGATATAGAGTATTAAATTTCTATAGTGTCTCTATAGCGCCTGATATATTATGATTTCATGGCACAGCAGAATGTAATAGAAGTTATGGTAAAATAATTTTTTGACATGGTAATAACCTTTAGTGAGCAACTATCCGTGTTGTGACAGATGAATACGGTGTGTCAAGAACCCTTTTCACAAAACAACGTGGGTGTAGTAAGCGTCGACAAAGGGACCAAATACGAAGAACAACTGCACTGCCAAGAGAAAAAAAACTTGAAACAATCTCTATACCAACCCGTCTGGCCAGCGTGGCATAGTACGCCAAAACATACTTTCTAAGAAGAGGTTTATGTCTAACAATGGACTATTAAAGGCTGTTGATGATGAAGGATTCTTACTTTGCTTTACATTGTTTAATCTATTCCATTGCGAATAAACTGATGATTTATTTATCTACAAATAAATATTTGTAGGTATGTTTTTCTGTGTCCTCACGCTCTGTTGCTTAGTGGCTATTGTTGGTACTATGGATAAGTGTCAGTTATACATAAATCCACATAATAGAGTTCGAAATTCAATTATTGGCAGGGCTGACCTTGCCAATAATTTAGGCCAAAGTAAAAAGAAAAACTAAGAATTATTATTATAGGACATTTGTCGTAATTTCCATTGGTACCTAAAATAAAATAATATTGTATTAGCAAAATTTATATTTATATATTATATACCTCAGCCTATGCTTGTCCACTGCTGGACATAGGCCTCTCCCAATGATTTTCAGCGGGGACGGTTCGTTGCGGCCTGCATCCAACGGTTTCCGGCAACCTTTACCAGGTCGTCCGTCCATCGGGTAAGCGGTCGTCCCACACTGCGCTTTCCAGTACGTGGTCTCCATTGGAGAACCTTGCTGCCCCATCGGCCGTCAGTTCTCCTTACTATGTGCCCTGCCCATTGCCACTTGAGCGCGCTAATCCGTTGGGCTATGTCGACCACCTTTGTTCTCCTGCGGATCTCCTCGTTGCGGATTCGATCACGCAGGGAGACGCCAAGCATAGCCCTTTCCATAGCACGCTGAGCGACTCTGAGCTTTCTGATAAGGCCCATAGTAAGAGACCACGTCTCAGTTCCGTAGGTCATCACTGGTAACACACACTGGTTGAAGCATTTCGTCTTTAGGCACTGAGGTATTGTTTTTTAATAAATAATATTAAATTATATTTATTACATTAAATTATTTATAGGTGCTTATTATTAATTTAACTCTGCAATCTTTCATAGCAAGACGTTTGTAAGGTTTATTAAAAAAAAAAAAAACATTAGCTTATGTAGAATTTTTAGTTTACATCTTATAATACTGATACTGCTATATTTCAAAGGATTTAAAACGAATACTGATTCAATACTTAAATAGAGATGTTGACATATCTTGGAAAAAAAGACGCATTTTTTAAAATTAAAATGCAATGAAAATTCTAAAAGAGAGCCTTCAAATAAACGTAACCTCTCCCAAGCTTTTTTTGAAAAAAGAAACATCGAAAGGTTTATATTATACTCTAATGGTACGAGGTTCCATAGGTCCATCTACGTCCACTTTTTTTAATTTAATAAATTTCTCAAAGCAAATATTATTACGGTAGTTCTGTCAGCGTGTACACCAAAGACTTGCTCACGTCGTAAACTCTGTATTCTATGTAAAAATACGTCATGTATCAGCTGGCCATCTCATCTGGTGTCATTTTAAAACCATGTACCATGTCCGATCTGGTCTACGGGTGAAATTCTCAACTACAAGCGTAAGCAATAAGGAAAGAGTAAGTGAGACAAGAAAACTCTTAAATTTTTTTTATAAGTTTATTAACATGACTAAGTTCCGTTCCGTTCCGTTTTGCCGTCACTTTATCATCAGTTCCTGATATCGTACGACCTGGCTGGGTAGCCTAGTCATGTACACGCTAAACCTTAAAAAGCTAAAGTGAATTAACTAATCGCTACAGACTTTTCATAAACCAGTTCATCAAAAGCAGTAACAGTAACTTTTCCGAGACAAGATTCCGACTCGTCAATCAGTATTCAAGATTTTCACTCTGTTGACACAAGACTTCACAGGGCTCGACAAACCATTTTAAAATTACAAGATCTACAGTCACAAATCATACATCTTTATCATCCAGGCAAAGTTCCAACTGATTACCACCTCTTCTTGAATTTGGAGAACTTTCTGCAAGTAAGAAGAAGATTATTCAAAACTATCTTCCCATGTTTTTGATCTTTTCATTCTTAAAGTAAAATACTCTACCATTAATTTTTAAGGCGAAGGATTTAGGAAAAAGCTTTTTAAATGAAATTTTACACTTTTATTGTTAAAGTAGTGCTGGGAGTAAGCCATAACATAATTTCTTTATTTCAAGTCTTTATATGATGTTACGAGTATACTCCCTCAAAAACGTTCAAAAAAAATTAAAATAAACAAACTTTTGATGTATCATATTTATATAAATTTCAAATGTTCATAGAGTCTTTATCTGTTTAATAACTGAATTTGTTTATGTTTATTGTTTTTTTAAACCACTGTAGATTTAAAAAAAACCGTCACAGATTGTTATACTCGTATGTACAATCTGTGACGGTTTTTTTTGTACATGTACAATTGGATTAAATATAATTTTGTAGTCTCAATTTATTATAAACTCGTCTTTGTTTGTGGTTAGTACTCCGGATTTCTTTATTTTACTAAGTGCAGTGGTCTTACAGACGCCCTCCAATTTTCTTTCGTTTTGCTACTGTAAATGGTGACAATTACAAGAGCAAAGAGAATGATGTTACGCTGTACACGCTGTTCCTCTTGCGGACGACGTGAACGTTCCAAATATGTGTGAGTCCTGTTATGATTTTCACTTTTGGCACTATTGTATCAACGCTTTAATTGTATTTTATTGTATCTTAGAGGTAGGATTCAAAGGATCAGATGGATAAGATATGGTCAGACGAAAACTAACCTCATGCGTTTCTGGAGATTTTACTATCATTTTGGAATACGACCCCAAAATTTTTGCTTATTTGTAGATACTTAATTATTGTTGAATTACATCCTATACCCCTATTTTACTATTTATAACAATCTAAAAAACTTGTATTACGTGTAATGTTCAGTTGCTTAACTTTAACTATGAGAAAATGCGTATAGTCCGTTCAAATTTTCCGCGCTCCGTCCTTTCCCGCCTATCGCGTGAGGTACCTAGTTTATTTAGACAGGTGAATGTCTAGTATTTAGCACCTAGCTACATTTTTTTTTATCTACCTACCTAAATATATTTTCTCTTATCTAAATTTGATGCCGTGTGTCTCCCTTAATACAGTGGTTTTAGGTGGTATGTAGGCATAAGCAGATAAAAGGCGGCAATGCATTGGTGAATCTCAAGTTGCAAGTGTGTGTGGGCGGCGGTAGTCACCATCATTCGACCTGTTCCTGCTCGCTTGCCCCCAAACACCACAAAAAAGATCGCACTGGACGGCGGCAAACTGCGCCATGTCCACTAGTTAACCGAGCGACGCACGACACTTTACGAACTCTGAGTGTCGGTACGGCCGTAAGTTTTGGCCAATTTTGGCGGAAACAGAAACTCCAACCGAAACTAAATTTTTTGGCCGAAACAGGCCGAAACCGAAACTTCGGTCGGTCAGTAATTACAATATGGTCATTTTTATCTTCCGAATTTCATGAAACTTTTTGATCATATTTGTGTATAACCTCGATCTTCTTTAAGTTAATTAGGTTTAGGCGACTCGTTTTACATCGCTTGCTATTAGCTATACCTATGATTAATTAACTTACTATCGAGTAGTCACAAGAAACAACGAACCTTAGGATTTAATTTTAACTTGATTATGGTATCGAAACACCAGACCAGTAAACCCCTCTAGTTTGGATTTATATAATTTGTTTTGACGAGTTCGATAATTTAAACTTGTTAACAATGGTCCAATGATAAAGATAACATTTGGACAATCATTTTTTTCTTTGGTTTGCCATCGACGCATTTTTTTCTAAATTATAATTAATTTGGGTTTTACTAAAAGTTATTGGAGGTCACTCTAGGATCGCTTCATTGAATACAAAGCTAAAGGAACTTTGATTGAATAAATGTTATATGTAGTTGATTTTCTAAAGCAGTGTCAACATCCCTATTTTTTCACTGATCACAAAATAAAGTGACTATTTTCTCAATTTTTAAAAATGAATTAATAGGAACATACATGTCTACTTTCGAACGCAATATATGTATTTATTCACTAAACGACATGAGCAATACACAATACTACTATATATTCATGACAAACCAGTTTGACGTCCTTAAAGCCTAAATTGGAACTTAAATGATAATAAAACATCCACTAATACTATTTAGTCATACCACCTACAGGACCGTTATATCACATGTTGTTAGCGGCAAGTCGTTGGTCTTAGTACGCATAAGAGCCGTGGACAGCTTGTCTCTGAGAAAGGCGACCATCCACAGCATTACGTACAAGACCACCAAAGCAGAGACTGAGCAAATCACTATGATTCCCGCGTTCCTCGGTTCTCGCCAGTTAAGCACCGCATAGATAAATTCGTGGCCCTCACTGAAAACAAAAAACAAAATTGCTCATGTGATGGGATGTGTGTGGAAGGAATTACTGAAAACGATAATTATGTTTTTACCCGGCTGCCAAGGAAGGGTTATGTGTTTCGCGCGTATCTTGTGTGTTTGTTTGTAAATTTATTTATTACTCGTATCTTTTAAATGGCTGGATGGTTTCGACAGTTAGGTTTTGTTTCATCTGCCTCAAAAACCCGAATGTCCTTAGATGGCTTTTTGAAAGAAAAAACAAAATAGCGGCTATTTGTAATAGGTTTGTAATAGGTTAATAAAAAAATTATAAATATATAATATAACCTAACCAAAAAGTCTAAAATCTTAAAAAAAAAGTTTTTTGACCTTTATATATTTCAGCATAACACGGCCTCACAGAAAACCTAAAGTTTTCCTAAAGTGAGTAAGGTTCCCGGTGCCCAAACCTTCCCCTCTTCCTGATTCTGGGGGGTAGGACTTGTGACTCTTAAGTTGCAGGTGTCTATGGGTGGCGATAGTCACTTTTCATCAAATGACCTGTCTGATTGTTTGCCCCTCTAAAACATAAAAAACCGATTATGGAAAAAGAGCAGGTAAATTTTCGACTATATCTCGACTATACTAGCAATAGAATGTAGTAAGCACCTACGTGTTAAACACATAGATCGTCTTTTGGTCTTAGTTTTTTGTCTTGTTATTTTTTATATGGTATAGGGGTCAAGTAGAAAGGTCACGTGATTGTGTCTACCTCCCACCATAGACACCTCAAGAGTCACAAGTGACTCCCCAGTCAGAAACCTCGGTAAATCTCGGTAAAAAGCAACGAAAGAATTGCTTACACTCCCAGTCGAGCTGGTATATTTGTTACCACTATAATTTAGACTGTAATTAGTATTAGACTTTTTGCATCATAGCAGCTCAAAATACAGGTAAAGTTTTATGTGGTATTCTAAAATACTTTTAACTTTATGGCACATGTTGTTTCAATATTTTAGCTTTGGATACTTCTTTACACGCATCCACACAAAAACCATATTTATTTAAAGAATGAAAATGAATGAATGATTAAAAATATGTGAAGAAAATTCTTTGTAACCCACAAAGTTTTTTTTCACAAAGTTATAAATATATAGACGTTGTATTTACAGGCAGCGGTAACGTAAATATTCAGTACTTTCATTTGATTTTGAACTCAATGACTTCATTAGGTAATAATATATAATTAAATTACGTTATTACTTTGTTAGTTTAATTATATACATTTAATAAATTAAATTATATTACATAATTAAAGAATAACTTTATTTCTCTGAATAAACGCAATCGTGCGCTTTCTAACATTTTTTGTGCTTTCAAAATATTCACTGCATTAATGAAGACCGAATACGTAGAGAATTGAAACGTTACTTATTATCGGTATCGCTTATAACCCGGCAATCTCGTGCGCGACCGTCCCGTGGGGTAACAGACAGTGGCGGGGGCGAGGTAGCGCGTCATTCTAGCACACGGCTACACACGCACGCACGCGTTTCCCTTCCCCGCTATACCACCCGCTACCCGCTGACATCTTGAGTCCCCGCCACCGTCTGTCACCCCGCAGGACGGTCGCGCACGACGTTGATGGACTATAGCTGTCGAATTGAGATCTAGTATTAAAACGAAGCTTACTTGTCAGTACCGCCAGCGGCAAAATATATGACAGAGAAGAGAGCATATAGCAAGCCCACCCCCAGCGGCTGGTAGAGGTGCGCGAGTCTGACGGGTGTCCGCGAGAACAGCAATTCGGTTACTATGATACACGACATCAAGCCATGTTTCGATATGTTGAGCCAATACCCGCGCAGTCCATACTTTTCTGGAATGGCTGAAATTAGAGTATACTTATATTAATTTAGATTGCTGAACTGAATATTTCTAAATAAAACGCAATATTTAAAAGTAAGAATTTACATCTATAGTTTATACTAAAAAGCATTCATTTGGTGATTTTTTCTCGGAATTGGAACAATTCAATTGTTTGTTTTGTTTCATTTAGTAAAAGACACTGCCCGCGCTAGTAATATATCCTGTGACTTAATAAATATACATACATAAAATGGACACAAAGCACACCCAAACATAGAACAACAATTTGTGGCTCATACAACGCGCTGTCCCGTATGGGCATCGATCCCACAACACTCAGCGCAGTAGGAAGCGGCGAGGTGACTGTTTACACCATCCGTGCAGTCCTATGATTAATTATCATTTAAAGTCTGCCTAGTTTCTTATCAAAGGGTTAAGTTAGGACAAGGTAAGATTTATAATTAACCATCTTATCCTAACTTTATTTAGGTCGGCAAGACTGGTACAATACAAAGGGATTGGGCTTGTTTCTTTTATAGGCTGCTGCTTGCCTGATGCTTTGCTCCGGAATATAGTAGATTTTAGACGGGAGAAAGGGTGAAGGTAAACTATGCTAAGGTAAATGAATAGTGGGCAGGAGATAGGCTAAGGTCTACCGCCAATCTCGGAACGCGGAAAGGGGGTTTGGGTTGAATTGGCTTAAAGACACCAGTCATTAACTGCCTCGGTGGTGCAGTGGAAGCCTGAGGTTTCGGGTTTGATTCCCGGGTCGGACCAAATGTTTGTATGATCTGCAAATATTTGCTTCGGAGCTTGCGTGTTTTCTATATAGTAAGTATTGTATCAGTCAATCTAGCGTTCATGGTACAAGCTCTGCGTAGATTTAAACTAGATAGCGTAGTGTGTCAGAAGTCCGAAAATAATAGGTCAGAGAGGTGATTTGAAAGGTAACATTTTTAAAACAATAGTTGATACATACCAGGATCGTGTAGCAATATCCAGTAGAGAATGGTGATCATTATAGAGATGGCGAGTGCTATATTAAAAGCGACCCAATAGAAACTGACGTACCACGCTAAATTTGTCGTCTCTGAAAACATAAGTAATATTTCTACTTTAGAATTGTTCTAATTAGATTATTATTTAGACACAATTATTTTAACCGAATTTGTTTTCTTTTAAATTAATACTATTTTTTATATTTTGAATATATTATTTTTTGAAGTCAACTGAATTTCAAGAGTAAATATCCCAATTCGACCCATTGAGCTACCTAAAGGAAACGAAATGTTAGGAACTTTACGACGTCGAAAATAATAAAGAATTAAAGGTATCATAAAAGTTTTAAAATGGATTTAATAAAATTGAAACACTTACACCAAACATTATGGCATTCGTTCAAGCGTATTTTATTTTGTTATTGAATTAGCAAAAACATTGGGTGTTTAAGTAGCAAAAAGTGATTTTTTTTATATGCATAAAATAAAATAAAATGTTATCAATGGACTTAAAGAGTCAAATTTATGATAGTGAAGAATCGATTACTAACAAAAAATAATAATAAAATAGATGACGTAGTTAATAGGACATTTTAGCAGAGTTTTGTAAGCTTTATAGTTTTTATAATATTCTCAACGATTTAATCAATATGTACATACCCCACAATATAATGTACCCATTAAAATACCCACCATGGTATAACTCGAGTCTAAAAAAAATCCTGAAGGAAAAATACAAATACCAGCGTAAATACCATATATACGGCAATACATCGGACTACGACTCCTTCATATTACTTCGTGCTGGGGCTAAAGCCGTCGAAGAACAATGTTATAAAACCTAAATGGCCAAAACTGAAGATTCCATCATAAAAAATCTAAAAATTATTTGGTCCCACTCTCCCGTCCGGCAACCTTTACCAGGTCGTCCGTCCATCGGGTAGGCGGTCGTCCCACACTGCGCTTTCCAGTACGTTATCAACAATCAACCGTCCCCGCTGGAAATCATTGGGAGAGGCCTATGTCCAGCAGTGGACAAGCATAGGCTGAGCACACACTCTCCCGTCCACTATGTCTTTAGAAGATCAGACTTATGGTACAAATGAAACCATTAGCGATGCTTTTGCAACGTACTTTTAATCGAATTTCCTCTCCACTTCAAACCGAAGCTCAAATACCTCAAGCCTAGGAAATGTTCATCCTACTGATTCTTCACTAAATGTAGACGACATTGAAATGAATGTCAACTCCGTGCTTAGGGTCCTCGAATCCTTAGATCTATCTATCCTTATCCTTAGATATAGCCAATGGCGTGGGTCCTGACCATATTTCGCTATTATTCACAAGGACTAGTTAAGCCACTAACGTTCATTTATACACGTTCTGTTAGGGAAGGTATTATGCCAAGTACATGGAAGTACCCGTACATAACACCAGTGCACAAAAGTAGAAGTAAAGGTGATATAAGTAACTACAGGCCCATATCCAAATTATGTTTGTTTGGGAAAATACTTGAATGCTTTATTTACACCCAAGTATACGAGTACAGCGCTTTTTCCTCATTTATCATTCCCGAACAGCACGGCTTCCTTAAAAACCGATCAACCACTAACCTACTGGCATTTGTTGACTTCACCACACTCTGTACGGACGATGGCGGTCAGGTGGACTGTATATTTACGGAGTACAGCAAATGTTTTGACTGTATCGACCATGCCATACTTTTACTAGAGATTTTATAGATTTTATAAACCATGAATGCCCCATGGTAACATGTACCGATGGATAACATCGTATATACAGAATCGTTCCCACGCTGTCGCAATCAATGGTGTCGTATCGAAGTGGCATGTAGTCCCTTCAGGAGTTCCCCAGGGATCGCTCCTTGGGCCTTTTCTATTTAATATTTTTATATTCACACCTGCTTTCAAAATTCATCATTTTTACTTTACGCAGACTGCTACTCTCTACAACAAGATCTTAAACGATTAGAAAACTATTGTTAGCTAAACAATCCATCGTATCTAAATGTTATGCAATTACATTCACTCGCAAGACCAGCAACATATCCTCAACCTACACTCTAAGGAACAACCATCTGAAACGAGTAGATTTCAAACGAGATTTAGGTGTAACTCTAAATTTACCTATGAGAAGCACATAGATCACGTAGTAAATAAAGCAAACAAAGCCATGGGATTTATAAAAAGATCTTGCTCCCAGTTCACGGATGTCAAAATAATCAAGATATTATTCTGTTCCTTTGTCTGTAGCTCACTTGAATACTGTTCGCAAGTTTGGAATCCAATGTACAACGTTTATATTTCAAGATTGGAATCTATCCAGAGAAACTTTACGAGATACCTTGAGTACAAGTGTAAAACCCGCGATGATAATTATGATTTGAGGTGCAAAAGGTACCATTTGCTACCACTTTGGGAGAGAAGAAGTATTTCAGCTATCTCTTTCCTTGTTAAATTAGCTCAATCTTATATCGACGCCCCACAACTTCTCTCCAAGATTGAGTTACGTGCCCCTACTAGATCTGTTAGGATACCTTTTCTTCTTCTTAACGTCCCCCGCTGCAGCACAAACTGCAGACAAATTAATTTTCATAATTGCTACAATAAGTTGGTAGACTTTTCCGAACTTGACTTATTCACTAGTAAGCCGAATGTATTTAATCAAATACTTTCTAAACATTGGTTTGAACTGGTTCAATAACTGCTTAAATTATAATTTATATCATTTTATTATGTGTGAATACTTGTAAACACGCGTCGACTACTGTGTTACTTTGCTCAACCAACACAATAATGAAGGGATTTTAAATCGAATCATTACTTGTGATTAAAGTGAATACTGTACGATAATCGGAAGTGCTCGTCGCAATGGCTGAACCCTGAAAAGTTACTTGTGAGTGTGTGGTGGACTAGCGCTGGTGTCGTTCACTAGAGCTTTGTAAAATCTGGCCAAACGATTACGGCAGATATCTATTGTCAGCAACTGCAAACCATGAACCGAGATTGGTCAATCGCTCTAGGCCACTGCTGCTTCACGACAACGCAAGACCACACACTTCACAACAAACAACCACTAAGTTGATGAGCTACAACTGGAATGTCTGCGACATCCACTGGTGTGGCATATCAAATGGAAGGTCTTGTTTTCAGGGGGTTTAAATTTTGATGTTGTTTTTTCATTTAAAGATGATTCGAGTAAAATATATTAAACTAGGTAAAAAAATCACTATTTACCTTATCGCTAAAATGTATTTTGCTTCTCGAAATTACAACGCCTAAGATTTTGAAAATAAAAAATAGATTCCACGAGAGTTCGTGATCTTGAAATAAATTTATAAATCTCTTAAAACTGGGTGTATTAACCTACATTTGCAATTTAATGCACGAAACCCTCTCCGTGCGAGCTCAATTCGCACTTGTCCAGTTTTTTAAAACGTATACGACTTTACTATCAGTTTAACGAAGTCTACATTATCATAACATCAACAGCCTTTAATAGTTCACTGCTCAACATAGGCCTCTTCTTAGAAAAGAGGTTTTGGTCAACTATACCATGCTTTTTTTTCTTTTTTTTTTCCGTGCAGAAATCCCCTCGGATACCACCTATCGGTGGCATGTCGGACTCGAACCGACTAAAACCGCACGCCGTCTCGGGTACTAATAGCCGGGGAACTATACCACGCTGGCCAAAAGAATTGCTATAGGGGGATTTGTGTATTTGTGTCAAGTTTTCCTTCTTTTTGCAGTATTGTTGTCTTGCGCAGTTTGCAGGAGTTCTACTAACAGAGTTTAATGATTGTTATTAACTCTAAATAGATTTCTCTATTCTATTTATTAAATATAATTTAAATTTTACCAAAAATAAATCTATTGTAATTAATCTTTAAAAATATGTTTGTCACATCAGAAATTACATAGTCTGCTCTGTTCTTAGAAGTAGTCCTATACTCGAGGTAAACAGTAATTAGGTGTCGAAAGTAAAGTTTTACTATACTTATCGAAAGAAAAATGGTAAGACAATGCTGAATACAATATAGTACTTACGTCATGACAAGTGTTCGAGGATTAAAAGGTCAAATGTAATTGTGATAAATATTCAAATAAATACCTAATGGCTTCTTGACGAGAAATGCGAATGAAACGACGACACCACTCATCGTCGTAGCCGAGACAAGCAGTATTCCCCAGTTCGTGAGGTAGATCAGCCAGTAAGGGTTAGCATCCTCGACGAGCGACCACGTAAGGATGCCTAACGATGAAATTGTGAGCAGCAACCGCACAACAAGCATTGGCACAACCGACTCTTCTCGTTGCCATGACGACGCGTAGAAATCACTTAGTCTATCGTTTGTAGACACCCACAGTGCCGAAAAGGAAACAGTTTTTCTATAAAATTTCACCATAGTTGGTGGTTTTAAAATCACGTCTTTTATAACCGTTTTGAGGATTTCAGCATATTGAAACACATCACTGTATAGTATGCGAAGAAGTTGTAAGTCCTTTACCGACCATCGTACTACCAATAATAACACGAGTATTATTTAACATCTCGCCCTATCTCAGTAGTACGATGGATCTTCTGAGTACGAGTTTCCTAACTACAGAACTAGTGTGAACTGTGTTCGTGTAGGCGCAGGAGCGACACGTGCACCGCGTCTCCAATCGCCACTATACTAGAGTAAACTATAGCCTTTCTTATATAATTGCTTGTTTTTTTAAACATAAAACAATCCAGTATGGGATTGTTTTATGTTAATAAGCAGCAGGCTGTTTGATGATATTATACATGAAATCTATTAAAACAATATCCATTTTATTAATATGTATTTAATATGTACGAGTAAAGGCAGGTGGAGTGACGATTTGCGCAAGATGGCTGGCAGGAGTTGTATGCGAGAAGCCCAAAATCGATCTAAGTGGCGTGCATTAGGAGAGGCCTATGTCCAGCAGTGGACTGCGATAGGCTGATGATGATAATGATGATGATGTACGAGTACAACATGCCCTTGCATCACTTTCTGCGGTTTCGATTATTTAGCTAATGGTCTTTAAACTTATAATTACTAAAGTAAGTAGTTAATTTAGTGCTTAATTATATTGTTCTGGAATTGTGTATTTAAAGACAATTATTGGAATTGTATATTTTGTTGTGATGTTCCTCTTTAACAATGCGCATAATGCAGATAAATGTTCTCGAATAAAAATGTTATTGAATATAAAACATTAGCGAAATGTCTTGAATGAAAAACAATCAAAGAAAATGTGCATTTAAGACATTTCAATAAAATTCTTTTCTATATGGTTGTCTTACAATGCACTAGGAAGCTGTGGACTGTAATTTTGAAATACGTTTAGATTATGAACAAGAAGTCCTTCTCCTTAGGAATATTGGAGTTGCAATATGTAGATCACTAACTAGATTTTGTATTGGCCAGTTATGTTTGCGGCTGCGTTCGTTTGATTGTAATTCTTCTATCACTAAAGTTTTTCACCGAGGGGAATTTATGCCTCGGCAGTTAAGGGCCGGCTCGCACGGTGTAATTATATGATGACCGGTGTTAATTAACTCTATCGTTGTTTTTCACCGAGTGTGTAAGGTAACCGGAGGATAAAACCCCCTCTCTCTTCTAGTTCTTGGGAGAAGGTATTCCTAGAGCATCAAATCTTTTGTATTAAAAGAGTCCATGGGTGGAGTGCGCGCCTCTCCCTACAGTTGTCTATTGATAGGTATGTCTATTCACATAATAATAATAATAAGATACATACAAAGAAAACACACATGAGTTATAACAATCTCAACATTTACAATAATTTTGTTGACCTCTGGTACCCTAAGTAAGATTTATCGTATGGTATGGGGGGGTACCCATACCACACGCGTTCTCGTACTTAATTGCAACAAGTAGTTAATTTGAGAGTGTAGTGTATCGTAGATGCATATGCATCAGGTGTATTACTTAAGGTAGGAATAACCTATACATAAATAGAAATAAATATAATATTATATTTATGTAAATATATCCTATTATTATTATGGATTTTTACAATGGGTACATAGGGTAGAATGTTAAAAAAAAGATTTTATGTCTTAATAGCACTGTGATATCAAATGTATCTACTTACTTAAAATTTAATCAATCCATTCAATGTTAATTTTAGGGAAAATAAATTCTTGTCTAAATTTCGATGACAGTAAATTTGTTTGTTATTTTGGAAGAAGCGAAGTTAAAATATTGTATTAAAATATTTGCACTATATAACTAATGCGTTTGATATTGTTCTTGTCACAGGAGAAGAATTTTATTGAGATAACGGATTCGTCACACGCCATAAGAAAGGATAACTGGTTGATTGAATACACTAAAATTCTTGTTTGTGGAACTTTATTTATTCATTACTTAAATACGTATTAGATACAAATAAAATATACACTAAAGATATTAAGAACATTACACAAAAAATAACAATAAAGATGAAAATGTTCGGCATTTCGGGTCACGTCTGGAAGTTGGACTAAATCTACCTTGCCGATTATACACACTTGCAATAATAAAATAGTTACCAATTCAATAAATAGAACATTAACATTGGTATTGTTCAAAAGGTTAAAAGATGAACGAACCTTTTACTTAATTGCTAAATCAAGTTTTAACACGCATTTAAAAGCTTTTTTATTATAGTCCATTCGCTTTAAGAAAATTGTGACGCATCGATCAAGCCCCGTACTCTGACCAATCAGGTTCAAAGCTTTCGTACGAAATGATAATTTCTTGGATCCTAAGTATAATATATATTTTATAAAGTAGATAAAATCTATATTTATTAAATCCTGCATCAAGTAACTAACACAGTTATATAAGACATGTAATATTAATATTACATTTATCATCTATAGTGCCAATAAATTAGGTTCTGGCAGCGGTAAGGAATGGGTACGCACGAGGGCCATGGAACACTTGTCTCTGATCAGTGCGAGGCTCCACAGCAAAAAATATAGAATGATCAAAAAAGCCACGGAGGAAATCAGTAGGATGCTTGAACGCTTCGGATATTGCCAGTTGAGAACATCATATATAAATTCATTGCCATTTCTGAAAATAAAAATATATTTTTACCGTCGAAGAACCATGTCTCGGCACAATCGACACATGGGCTAGGCTCACCCGAAGTGATACCACGGGCTCACTGAAAACCAGTATTAAACAAATCCTTTGTTGTTTTTGTGAGTGAGTGAGATGGGTTTTATTATTATTGGAGCTCAAACCCCCTGATTCTGGGGTACGGGGGTGGGGGAGCTCAAAGTGTGACAAGGCACATGTGACTCTTGGGTTGTAGGTGTCTATGGGCGGCGGTAGTCACTTCACGTCTGCTTATTTGCCCCGTTTTTCTTTTGTCTGTGCGGAAATTCCCTCGGATACCACCCACCGGTGGTTATGTCGGACTCGAACCGACCAAAACCCGCACGCCGTCTTGGGTACTAATAGCCGGGGAACCAGACTAGAAAGGAAATGCCTGGTACTGGTTGTTTATATCTTATGCTATAAAAATACTTTCATCATATATCAATACTTCAATACTTCTATAAAAAATATTTGTGTATGTGAAAAGGGACAATTTACACTAACACATATTATTAAGACTAGTTTCGAAAATTATGGAATATGAATGAAAGAACTCTTTAGGTGTTTCCGCCGTCTTAATATGGTTTTGTTAGAAAATGGTATTGATCCACACATAAAGTTACAAACTTCCAGTGCAAAATCAATACAAACCAAGGGATTTTAAATTGTTTTAGAACCGTAAAGAATTTAAACAGAAGTAAATTGTCGAAGTAGGAGAGAGCTCCAGTCTGAGAAAACTTTTTATCAAGTATGTTGCGCTTACTTCTTGCCATTGAAGAGGCGTGAAAGTAAATTATGTATATAATACTTACATATCGGTACCGCCGGCTATGTAGTATATGATAGTGAAGAGTCCGTACAAGACACCAAAACAAAGCGGTTGGTAGATGTGTCCCAATCTGATAGGTGTCCTTGAGATTAGCAGCTCGGCTACTACTATACACGATGTAAAGGCGTGTGTCGCTATGTTCAGCCAAAAATCACGCATACCCATCTCATTTTGTAATGCTGAGGATCAACGAATTTTTATTTCTTTTATTTAGAGTCTAAGAGCGGTTTCGCACTACGTCCAAGAATCCGATCAAAACCCGTGAAAGTACGATCTGAAGTAGTATTAGAACTGTTTTTGTGGTAGTTTACGCACTCGATCCGAGTTCCATCATCCGATTTCTTTCCGTTATCCGTGAATTTCTTTGCCGGAGAAGATTATTGACGCACTCAGAATTCTTTACTTTTTCTGTATCGTTAGTACGTACAATAACATTGTCAGAAGTTGAAGCTTCAAAGGACTCATGATCAAAGACGTGAATGCCCTGCTGTGGCACCGCGTAAAATGACGGATGCTAAAAGGTGACTTCTGAATTGCTTGGATTAGAATCAGAGATAGCAATAGTTCATAAATAGTTCACGAATTCAGGCAGTTAGTCAGAGTCAGAAAATAGTCAAGAAATCCGTCGGATCAGAAATCGGAGGTAATACGAAAAGCAATATCCAAATTCAGCCCGTGCTTTCTAGATCCGTATTTTTACAGATTCGGATCGGACGTAATGCTAAACTGCTCTAACTCTTATTTGTAAAGGTTAGAGGTACAACAGAATCGAGATATTATTACTTCTGATAGCTAATGGCTGTCTACTAAATAACTTTCATAATAGCAAACTAGTGATACTAAATTAAACTAACAAAGTACTTACTATTTTGTGTTTACGTTTACTTAGTTCACGCTATATAATGGCAACAAACAAATTTCCTATGAAAGTTAGACAATTCGTCATTCTCTAAGTATGTAGTCGTATTCCTAGTTTAGTATAAATGTATTTTGTTAAGGATATTGTAGTTTTCAATTGTGGATATGCGATAACGATACGTCTAATTTCGTAAACAAAGAATAGAAAATATTTAAATACATTATTGGCCTGATTTCAATTTTAGTTTCAATATACCTGGATTGTGCAACAATAACCAGTAGAGAGCATTGATCGTGGCTGACATGGTCACTGTTACATTGAAAATCCCCCAGTACAAACTTACGTACCAGGGCAAGACCGATGTCTCTGAAATCACAAAAGTATCTTGTTAGCAATATTTTGAATATTTGTTTAGATGATTTAAACAGAACAGGCCCCTCTTCGTGCCCAGGGCCTCCTGATCGGTTAATCAAAAATCAATATTTATCACCGAAAAAGACTGACTACAATATTCTTTTGTCCATTCTAACAAAATAGAGCTCAGCTAAGTTTGTAGGGGCCCCATTATGCTAATTTGCCCAGGGCCTCCAATAGATTAGAGACGGGCCTGGAACAGAAGGGGTTACCTTCTGTTCAAATCATCTGAACAAATATTCAATGTTCGATTCTCGTAATAAAAGTTCGATTTCAATTCATTCCGAACAACTTTCAATCTCAAAACTGTCATAAAGCTATTTTCGTAGTAAAGAGTTAAACATCCAACGTTGACTGTGATGTGATTATATCATATTGTAACCGAACTTAAATCGGTAATCTAATGGTCTTAGTAATACTTTACTAATAATTGTGACCGAACTTTTATTACGAGAATTGGCCTTGTGGACTATGATATAATTGTCAAAACGATAGTCAGTATTGAATTCTTTTATACATACGATAGCAAGCTGGAGCATGTAACTACGTCTGCGTAGCTTTATTTTTTTGGTGCAGGTAAGTGCGTTTTCCTAAATCTCAATATGTACGGTTATACACATATATATAGCACGCATAATAAAAAATAATAGTTTAACAAAACTAAAAAATGCTTGAATATCAGAAATAAAAACCGTAGTGTGCTTTCTACTATATTTTTGAACTGTACTTTTAAACAACGCTACTTTTAAACAAGTACGGTATACTCGTATTATACAATTCTTTTGTTGCATTTCATGTGAGTGGGGGAAAGGCACTTAATGGCCGTCAACGGAATATGCTAGAGTAAAGGACAGTCCTGCACGGCTGCAAGTCGAGGTTCAAGTGTCAGGGGCGGTGCTCGCGCCTTGCAAAAAGGTACTACCCGGTATGTTATCAATTATCAAGCACCACATGATTTTTCAATAAAATATGTTTGCCACTTTTGTTTGCTAGAAAAGCAATGAAAAGGATGTTTTTTTTTTTATAATTAATAACATTTTAACTGTAATTTTATTTTCTACCTTTTTAGTCTTATCATTGGTCCTTGATAAGTACCTATGCAAGTTACATTACATTACAGAGATATATAAATTGATACGAGTAAAAAATGTGCGAAAAATAATAATTTAAAATTTCTATGATACTTAAGAATTTAAGGTTTTATTTTAAAATTATATTATATGTGTGGATTGAGAGATATTATCGAAGTTTTTATTCTATTACGACATGAAATTATAAAAAATGCTATCAATTATGTAAAAAAACGTAAACACTATCATAGTATGCAGATTTTAGACATTTCCGTGTAGATGGAAATGTTTAAACTTTCTGTCGAGTTTTAAATTCTTTGATCTATCAAGACTCAGTAGAATTATCATAGATTCAAGAATCTAAATGAATTTTCAGGAAGATGAATTACTTGGAAAAGACAAAGGTACGAACTTTCCACTAAGAGCTGTATCATGTGAAAATCGTCAATACTACTATCATTACAAGAATATTGTTTCTCTATAACTAAAACCAGTTAAAACTAAGGACTACTAATTAGATTACAACTCTATACACCTTTATTTTCATTAATACTACTAAAAAAATACCACCGTTTTGGCCAGAACCAGCTTATTATGAATTGTAACGATCGATATAAATACGATCGTCTAAGAACTTTTTATAAATCACAAACTACGATATTTAAAAATACTACAGTACCAGTGGGTTTCCTGCACACAAATGCAAAAGAGACTATAATGCCACTCATCATCATAGCTGCCACCAACAACATTCCCCAGCTGGTGAGATACAGCAGCCAATAGGGGTTGGCATTTTCGATGAGTGACCACGTGAGGATGGCGAGTGCAAAGGCGGCGAGCAACAATCGCACAATTAGCAATGGCATTGGTGACTCCCCTCGTTGCCATGCCGATGTGTAGAAGTCGCTCAGTCTCTCGTCTGTTGATATCCATAACGCCGAAAAAGATGCCGTTTTCCTATAAAAGTTTCTCGGTATTTGTTTCTGCTATTAAATTATTAACATTCATCATCATCATCAACAGCCTTTACTAGTCCACTGCTGGACATAGGCCCCTCCTTAAAAAGGACGTTTTAGCGTATTATGTCACGCTGGCCAGACGGGTTGGTTTTCAAGTTTTCCTTCTCTTTGCTGATAATTGGAATATATTGAAATGAAAATTTAGGATTTCCTACCTTTCCATTTCATGCTACTTTGGTACCTTTAACCCAGAAACACTTGCTGTTCCTGACTCCTGAACTGATTGACAAAATCTGTATACATTAAGGCAAGCGAAAAAGTGCGGCGTTCGGCCGACCCTTTATCATACACGTGCCGAAAAATCTTAGTTCCATTAAGGTCATGAAACTGGTTTTATAAATCTAAATGGTAAAATCGATACAATCCCATACTTATAATTAAATGTGAAAGCGAGTTTGTTTGTTTGTTACGCCTTCACGCCTAAACCACTAAACCGATTTTAATATTTCTTGCACCAATGTAAAGCTTCTTTTCATCGCAATAACCAAACTACACTATGCCAAATTCAGTAAAAACGAAGAATGTTTATGCAAACCCGGTGGGTTCCTTAGACCTTCAAAATCTGGCCCTTACTTATCAGTTCGTAGTCTCCTACTTAATTTCCTACAAAATTTTGTATTAAGGGCCCAAGTTTTCAAATTTCGTGAATAGTTAGTTGCTGAGTGAGTGAGCATCATTTCGCTTTTATGTACATAGATTTAGGTAGCACTTTTAGTGGAAGTGGAAATGGAAAAGATAAGTGAAATGAGGAAAAGCATTGTAACGCATAACGCTGAAGTCAAGATTTTATCGAATCGAAAGATTTATTAATGCTTTTCGTTGTTCACAATTTACCTAAGTATACATATATGTAATTGGTAGATTCGATTAGGTAAGAAGGGGATGTATGTATAACATTAGATATTATGATAATATGGCATTGTTCTCGGAATCAATTTAAAACACGGGCTTTTTAATTTATTTAATTTAATCTCTAATAAAACTCATTGTCCTGTGTAAATCTAGTGGTTGTACGTAAATGGGTATATTATTACTAAAACAGTCACCTTGATGAGCTCATAGCTTCAAAACTATCTTTTTTCTAATATCAATTTAATTTATTACACAAACGTAGTAAGTTTCCGTAACAAAACATGACTCTATGTAAACTTAACTTTATGATACAAATAAGAAAATAACGTTTATACTTACGGGTAATCATTAAGTGCTTGATAAACCATTATTTATTGTAAATAGTACTTTGGTATGTATATTATTATTTACCTTTATTTACTTAAATAGTAAAATAGAGTGACTATTTTGATGAATGAATGCTTGTCATCAGTCATCAGGATAAGAACAATTTTGACCATAAATATAGATGTTGTTTTTGATAATGTCTATGCTTGACTGTTCAATACTAACCTCACTAGGATATTTATGTTGAAATTGTACATTGACTACTACTAGCTGAGGCATTTAAATTAGTTTTATTCAAAGATATTGCCATATGTACATACGTTGAGAAAATATTTAAATATTTATAAATATGAATTTCTTCTTTACATAGTTTTAAATCTAAATGTTTAAAAATGTTAAGTTGGTTTGTGTACGCTGTAAAAATTTGAGAGTTCTGCATCGATTGACATGAAATTGCATCACGATATACAACTTGTTTTTGGGCGACAGTTAGTCTCATTTCTCAAAATTGCAACTATAATGTTCCGCACCAAAACGTGGGGTACAGTTAGTATTTTATAGTTTACACATTATTGTTATGTAATATGTACTCAGAATTATCATCTTCCTAAGCCCTGTCCCATCATCTGGGATCGGCTTTTCTTGTGTTCTTCCACCATGTTTCCCTGTCAACAATTGAAGCATCCATTTTAATTTCCAGTCCACTGTGCCAGTTTTCATCCTTATTTGTTATGCAATACAAATGCAATTTTAAATAAAATAATTATAAAAAATAATTATAAAATAACTAGCAAATGAAGCACATTATATAAGTTAGTATAGTTATTATAGTTCTATACTTGTGATACATTTCTATCACCCATGTCATAACCCTCAGCCCTTTATACACTTGCAAAAACTATAATAAGACCTTACTATTTGCCATTGTTCATTGATATTTCTTGATTTCTTAATTATGTTAAAGTATACATTTGTTTGAATACTTTACGTTGAGTTACATACGTTTAAGGAGGTAAGTGTCATATAAGTGTAAATTATTTCAAGCTTATAGGACTCGACAGAGTACTTAAAATTATTCTAGAACCTAAACAAAGCAACTATCACAGAGATGTGTCTACTAAACATTGTACAACAGAAAATATCAACTAGTAATAAATAACACCAATATTACATTAGAATCGGAAGGTTCGGATGAGTAAAAATTTAAATGTAAGTTGCTTAAAACTCACTTTAGAAAATTAACCCAAAGGTAAATATAACTATCCCCAGATTTTAATTTAAAACCAAGAATTAAACTTACTAAATAAAACGAAAAACATAAAATCAAAGTCATGAACACTTCAGACGCTATCATCCAACACTATTTGGGTACAGATAATTTCTCAAAATGCCTAAAATTTCACACCACTGTCAAGAAAAATGTGGATTTCTAAAATCTTTGCTTTCTTCTCGTCAGTACCAGCTTTATTTTATGCGTACACTTGTTCAGGCTGTCTGAGCGGCATGCCTTCAGCTGGCTTTACAGTTTGAGATTTCCTGAAACACCGAGCAGTACCCGCGTCTCGCGCAACAGCCAAGGCCGTAGTGAAGAAGTGCAGCAGGATCAGTAATATTCCAGTTATTAATAACACTACGACTGTCGTTCCAGGTTTAGACCAGTCAATTACTGAGTAAATGTACGGGTTACCCAGTCTGAAAAAAAAGATCCAATGTTAGTAAGTACTATATATTATTGTACTAATATTTATTCTAATATGGGCAAGCTGAAGAGTTTGTTTGATTGGTTGAACGCGCCAATCTCAGGAACTACTGGTTCGAATCGAAAAATTCCGAGGAACGCTAGAAGCTATATATATATATATATATATATATATATATATCAGCTAGTCGTGTAAATAAACACGTAAGTTTTTGTCCTATCAGATTTTTTACCGCGTGTTATTTTATTACAGTGGGTACATTAAAACCAATGTACATTAAAAAATGTGTATATAGCGATATTTCTACAATCGAATGTGAGCATCATTACCTAGGATCAGGCAAAATTTTGATTATACTTTTCAGATTTACTTTTACTTCAATTCTTTCATCAATAGAAAACTAAATCAATGACGTTTATGTAACTAAACTAATCAATACGTATTCATGGCTTCAGTAGTATTAAATAGTAGGCTTAATTAGTAGTATTAAATTTTAAATTGAAAATTTATTTCAAAGTATCACATTATGGTCATTTTATTTCGTTGGTGGCTACATTAAAGCTAAACAGCTAAGAGGTCTAGCTGGCTCATCATTTTTACACAAATAATGATAGTACTGTAATCAAAACTGAAAATACATTTAAGATTCATTAACATGACATCATTTAGAATCCATTTAAATTAAAATGCCTTGCATTCTTTTATTACACACTTACTTACTACTATACTTATTACTACTATACGATAAGCTTTTAAACCTAGAATAAAGATAAAAGACTGATCTGGGAGAAACGTGGCAATAGCACCAGTTTTCTTTTACTATAGTATTATTATTAGAATTTTCGGTTACAATACGATATAATCACGTTACAGCCAACGTTGGATGTTTAACACTTTACTACGAAAATACCTTTCATGACAGTTGTGAGATCGAAAGTTATTATTATTATTCTCTTTATTTACTTTATATACATATTATTTACATTTTTAAACATACATTTTATAAAAAATTATAACAAAATACATTTAAAAATATAAAAAATAGTAGACCACCGACATCGGGTACAGGGACCAAGACACCGGTGGTTAGGACTCCAAAGATAGGAACCTCCTCACTATACGAGCCGTGTCAAGGAGGACTGCCTTCTGCATCAGACCCTTGATCCAGCCGTCCAACGTGTTATTATTATTATTATTACAGTTGTAAGATCGAAAGTTGATCGGAACTGAATTGAGACCGCACTTTAATTACGATATTTGGCCTTTTTATCAAGAATGTTGGACCACGCATGAGACAACGCACTGTACCATTCGACAACGCATGGTGGCCCATGCTGTTGCTGAAATTAAAATCACGGGGGTGCTTTAAAAATATTTATTCCCTTATCTCTTCGTACTTTTCACAAGGTACAACTAAACTAAGACTTGGTCATCATTCGGTGTCGAAGGCGCTTACAATGGGATGTCCTCAGGGATCGGTGCTAGGTCCATACTTGTGGAATATCGGCTTCGACGATTTTCTTGCGATACCAATACCATCCGGATGTACTCTGAACGCGTATGCTGATGACGGCTTATTACTGGTGGAATCTGATTCTAGGGCGGGGCTTGAGAGATTAGCCAATAGATGTTTGAACTTGATATCTCAATGGGGTGAACGTAATCGCTTAACTTTTGCACCCAACAAAACCTTCCAGCTACTTTTAAAAGGTAACCTCAAATCACCGCCGAGCATTAGATTTGACAATGTTACTGTAAAAAGTAAAACTACAGTGTGTTATCTAGGATTAGTTTTAGAAAGAAACTTTTCATTTATCGAACATATTAAAATAGTTAATGAAAAGTCTAAAAAGAGTTTCTGTGCATTGACAAGGATATCAACTGCGACATGGGGTCTATCATTTAATACATTAAAGATCATATACGGAGCTACTTATTTAGGTTCTATGTGCTATGGTGCACCTGTATGGGCCGATAGGGCGACCGTAGGCGCTGTCCGTCGCAAACTGCTACAAGGCCAACGACTTGCACTGATATTCTTGTGTAAGGCATATAGGACGGTTAGCACTGAGGCTTTGCCGGTGTTGGCGGGTGTGCTTCCGGTCGATCTCGAGGTGCAGAGACGTGCAGCCATGTATTATTCAAGACAACAAAACATGGAATGCGATTTTTTGGGCGCGCGGGATCGCGGTAAAATTACAAGATTGCTTCAACAGCAGCCCGATGTCTATAATGACCTCATAGACGAATGGCAACAACGCTGGGATGAATCATCCAAGGGGCGCCATCTTTACCAATTCTTTCCATCTGTTCGCGAACGGTTGTCGAGGATATGGCTTGAGGTGGATCACTGTGTCGCTCAATTTCTTACGGGTCATGGTAACTTTAAGAGCAAGCTTTATTCATTTAAATTAGTCGAGTCACCATTGTGTCAATGCTCAACACCTAACTCTCACTATGAACAGTCTGCTCATCATATCCTCTGGGAATGTAGTCTTTGGTATAATGAACGTAATATAATGCTGAATAGCTTGCAGGTGACATCTGGGGCGGTATACTATGGGGATCTTGTGTCAACTAGGGTGAATTTCCGTGCGTTTAGGCGATTCTGCCATACATATTATAGAAATCAAACATAGCTCACGTAGGACCCGTAATATTTGTGGCCGTGGTGCTTCCCTGTTTAAAAGGGTGTATGCCCATTTTACTTCATTTTGTCTCCCGCTTTGCTAAGGAGGGAAGTGGATTTACTGTATTTCCAATTTTCTTCTGATTAATTTCGTTGCGGGTTCCAAGACAGTTTCATTTCTTCCTGGGACTTCCCGAGTGTCATAACTCGGTGTGTTCGTGGGTCACTGCTGTGGATCCTGGTGTACAGGAGTTACAGTGGTGGGCGTGTGGGTGGGATTAGTCCCAATAAAAAATGTACCATCTTGTTTCTCATACTTAAATACACACTAAAACATACCTATATAAAAGGCATCAATATTATGGAAGTTCCGAACTTCATTAACCCTTCATTTTACTCTGCGTTCATTCTACATAGCTTATTTTATTATAGACGACTGCATACATGTGTTTATTATCGGCTCTCTCAAATTTAGTTAATTCTAGGTTAACCCAGATTTTTTTACCATCGAACCTACCTTAGAATTTTTGGCTTCTACAGACTGTTATATATTTGCTTGTCTAAATATAAGTTACTTTTGTAATAGTTCCTACAAGTAATTTATCTTTGGTATTCTATCTTATCTTATCGTCAAATCACTCGATGTTACAACGAATTATCGCTATTATGAATTATACAATAAAATATGAACGTGAATCGAACTTACCGGTCTATGCCTCCCCCTAAGTGATAAAAGAGTCCAAACAGCATATAGGTGATACCGAAGAGTAATGGTTGATATATGTGTAGCAAACGGACTGGCAACGAACTGCTTAGCAGTAGTAAAAACATGATTATTGAATTGATGCCGTGGACAGCCACGTCCAGTGTGTGATTTACTTCTTCTTCCATGCCGGCTGAAAATATAAGAAGATTCCTTAAGGCAAGTATAAAATGATAGTGTGTCTTACGATTTCAGTTTAGATCGGTTCAAGCTCGAATACCAATAGTGAGTAATACTAATCTCTTTGCTTATTGTTTTGGTTACCCCCACAACTACTTACACTAATAAATCATCATCATCATCAATAGCCTTTAATAGTCCACTGCTGAACGCCTCTCCTTAGAAAACATATTCTGGCCTACCATACCACGCTGGCCAGACAGATTGGTGCAGGGTTTGTTTCAAGTTTCCTCCTCTTTGCGGTGCTGTTGCCTTGCCTTTAACTCAGTAACTTAGGCGCAGTTTACTACACTGACTGAGATTTAATGGAGTCAACTCAGGCAGCGGCGTTTATGTGGATTTAATGGAGTTAACTCAGGGGCGCAGCGCAATTGCGTGCCGAAGCGCAGTGTTACGCGTCCTGATTAACATTTGTAACAGTTATTTATGGGTTAATACTATATGCCTTTTGTCATGTGGAAACTCCCACGGGTTACCTAACCGGCTCTCACGATAAAGTAGTAAGTCGGCAACGAACCTACTAAAACCACACGGTGTTCCGTCACATGTGAGCCTATTGCGAGGGGTTCGAGTATACTCTGCCTAGGAAAGAAGTCCGCGAAATTTCAATATAATACTGTATATTAACAGCAATTAAAAATACAATAAGAAATACAAAGTTTATTCAATTTTAATTAAAGAAATATTAATATTAATTCAAAGATAAAAAAAAGAGTTTACATGTATAATTACGATTAGCCATTGCAATTACTATTAATTACAGAACGATACAATGAAGTCGACGAGACTACTACATCCAATCTTACAAATTCTAATTCAGTAGTGCTTGTAGTTGTAGTGTTTACACTGAGGATACAAAACTTTAAGTGCTACTTGTGATACAAAACTTTAACTTCTAGTAAAACGGGACAATCGTTTTTTTACTAGTTTTTCGATCAAAAATACCATTAACCCTACTTCTAAGGAATGCTGCTAAGACTACAAGGAAACTATGGTTTTCTTGTAAATTTTCCATAATAACATTTCTTATCGTTGAAAACCATACTATAACACATAGATACATTTCTTATTACAAAGTTTTAAGTTCGCAGCAAACAAGAAATTATCTATGTTTAGTTATATCGTTAATAAATCTATTAAATAAAATGTCGGACCTAAGTGAGAGCCTTGTGGAGCACCCAAAGTTATGTTGACGTTAAACCGTGACCTTTAACCGTTAAACGTTGATTTACAGTTAAAAATATTGCTAAATGCACTAACAGATCAACTCAAAACTCAACTCACAAAAAAAAGTTTAGGTCTTAGGTATTCACATCACAAAAACAAACGCCTCTTAAATTTTTTCCATTTTTTTTGTCTAACACTATAATGTAAAAGTGCCAAATATATGGAGATAAATATACTGAGCAGAGAGCCATTTGATGTTTTATTTTTATTTGTAACGACGAAATGAAAAAGACAACTCCCGCATTAGTAATATAATCCTGTGTCGCAGAAGCTTTACAAACAATCATGAAATGGATACAAAGAACATACAGACACAGAACAACAATTTGTTGATTACAAAAGTATTGTCCCATCTGAACACAACACTCAGCGTAGTAGAAAGCGGCGAGGTGACCGCTTAAACCACTACGCCAGTCGAATTACATCACTCATTCGTTATTTTCTATCATAGAAAAAAAATGTACTTAAAACACCAATATGAACAACTTGAAACAAATCCTATACCCACCCGTCTGGCCATCGTGGCGCAGTAGGCAAAAACCTCCTGTCTATGAAAAGGCCTATGTCCAGCCAGTGGACTACTAAATACTTTGATGAGTTGAGAGATGAGAATACTTGATGAATTTAATAATGTAAGTTATTTATTATCATAAATAACTTACGGTTATTTATTATCATAAATAACTTACGGTTATTTATTATCATAAATAACTTACATTATTAAATTACGAAATAAAAATATAGACCCACCTGAGTATAGCACAGTCCAGTAGAACACGGTGATCAGAAATGCAAAAGGCGTAGCAATGTTGCAAAGCACCCAAAATATCTTCACATACCATGGTAAATTGTACTCGCCACCTGAAATTATATACAAACAAATTGTACTTGACTCTTTGAAACGAGAAACAGCTCTCTTTGAGAATACGATCTTGGCAGTCATGAGTACACGTTTTTATTTATATTTTTATTTAGATTATTATAATTTATTATTTACACAACATATCCAAAACAGAAGTATGTTCTCAATTTTAACTTTTTTATTGTGTACTTTGCCGGTTTGCAGGGCATTTTAATGGCAAAAAGTTGATTGTGTTACAATTAGTAACATAGGACACTTTTGTTATTGTCGAAGTAATTCGAATTTTATTTCGCCAAAAATAAAAGTATGCTATGTAAAATATATATGTAAATGTAGAAAATATATATTGGCGAACTGATGAACTAACTGACCGAATAAAATGATAGCTACGTAACGAAATTTGTTGCTTTCTTACTGCGATTGCCAGCTTTTTCATAATTACCACAACACAATGCTTTACAAAATATAACTTTGTCATAGTTTTTAAATTAAACTTAAAAATACACTGTTAGTAAGTTAGTTTAAAATTTGTAAACAATATAATACTCGATATGTAGTAAATAAATGATTTTTGTAATTCATAAAACAGAGCGGTTTTTTTAAGGTAGTGATGTGACTGATATGTACAAATATGTCTCCTGCTTATTAAAAAAATATGTGTTATTTTGGACATCTCGGACATCTGACACACAACGCCATCTAGTTTCAAACTAAGCAGAGCTTGTTCATACTGATATACTTTATTTTTGTAAATAAATAAATATATGTTTGTATATAAAAAAAAAAAATATTATACATAGAAAACACCCAAACTCCGAAACAAATATTTGCAGATCATACAAACATTTGGTCCGACCCGGGAATCGAGCCTGAGACCTCAGCACAGCAGTCGTATACGCTACCACTGTACCACCGAGGCAGTGAAGTATAAAAAGAGTTTCGTTTATATAACATAACTAACTTTTAAATGATAGAAATACAAATTTAAACTAGAACAAAAGTGAAAGTCGAAATACTCTAGATTCGTCACTTAGGTCATTTGTAATATTAATAATCAATTATTATCTATGTTTAATACCTTTACACACTTCTACTTAAACAAAAGCGATTGTTATTTTTAATCGAATTGACAACATTTGTAGTCTTTGCTCATTGGCTGTTTATCGAACTGTTTAACTTAAAAAAGAAATTAATATGGTTCAGCACAGTGTACACTGTACATATTACGTAAATTATGTAGGTATCTATGTTTAATGTATTTCTAGTTTATTATATTATATGCTTCTACATAAGCCGCCCGTAATTCATAAGTAAGCATTTTTTTTTTATAAAAAAAGTATTTAAAATTAGGTACTTACTGATAGGTCCCCGTAAGTAGATACGCGCAGACACTGCAACTGCAAAACTCGTAGCCAGAAGTATGCTGGTCAATCCCCAGTGCGTTAGATAAATGAACCAGAATCTAAATTTACCCTTTACAATATAAGTGATTAGAGAAGATAGAACTATCGTTAAAGACGCTAGGAGGAGTACTACTCGCAGAATTAAAAGTGGCACGGCTGACCGTGTCGTTTGCCAATTACTAAGATAAAAGTCAGCCGGTTTCTGATGTTCAATTTTGAACATTCTAGGATTAATTTCTTGTTTAAAATATGATTTTATAGCACTCATTCTGGTAATTTTACACACACACGCACCTATACATTACTAGCGATCACAAATAACTGATAATATAAATCGTGTTGGTTATCGTGGGACTCATACCTACCTGTTTGGTTTATCTGAAGTTGGTGCCAAATTTTTTATCTTATACATATTGGTGTAACTGATTTCAGATAGAGTATGATTCAATGCATTCAAGCCCATCATTTAGACTCGTAATAATAGTTATACAAATAGTTTTCTATTGTATTTGAGACGCGTACGATTTCTTATAGGTTCCTGTAACCTTAGCAACCTGCCTGAACGTCTGCCCTGTTTTAGCTATCAAGGGCATGGAAATAAATTTTACAGGAGACAGAATAAACGTAACGCTATTGATATTCAGTAAAAAGCGTTACAGGTTATTGAAAATACTAAATTATAGTAAATTTATACCAATAATATAAAATTAATATTTTACCTATCTCATTAATTATATTTTACTAATGACATATTGTCCGTGAAGTTCTATTGTGTAAGTAAAAAATGTTTACTTTACAGGAGAGTAAAATAACTGTTCTACTTAGGGTGGAGTAAAATTTTGTGGTACTCGTAGTTCTTCACGTGAATATTTAATTGTATTTTAACAGAATTAAAAAAAAAGTCACAAACTCTCTTAACTGAAAGTGTCAACTAATATCATGGATCTTCTTGTAGGTTTTGTACCACAGACTATTTTCAGTATATTTATCGTTAATATTGATAAAATTAGAGTTATATCACTTTGAACAGATCTAAATCTGAATTCCGAATCTAATTTTTTTTCTCGAAATCCGAATCTAAAAGATCACGATTTTAGCAAACTGATACCATTCAGCCAAGTTATGAAATCGGGATTGATCAGTAAAAAAATCTCATCTTTGGGATAGGATTTTTAGAATTTCTTTGAGCAACTTTGCGCTACAAACACATTCTAATGAGTAATTATATAGTACTTCATCATCAGTCTAATCTGTGTTACAAACCCATAAGCAGTTGAGTGTCTTACGCAGTTTTGTCCTGTAGGTTAACTATTGCAGAGTCAGTTTTATTGCAAAATGCGATGCTATGGAACGGTATCAGGAATTTGAGCAAAAGTTCCTGCGTTGCTAGTTGTGACTTTCTAAGTTTCGCGCGAATTACTCCTTCTCTTTCTTGAATTAAAAAAAATAGCAAGTCTCATTGAGTGTATGAATTTTAAATGGTCAAGATCTTCAAGGTCTTTGGATGAAGTCTGTTTTGAAGTAGTACATCGTACTTTGTGCTATTATTTATGTTCAATCTTCAAAATCAAGGATAATGATAATGATATCAAGTTTATATTTTGGTTAGTTAAAAATCCGATTTGGCTATTCGGTCATGGCTCAATTGCTGTCAAGTAAAGATAATGCACGATTTCTGATAATGAGGATAAGGTGTAAATAAAAGAAAATAATTTCAGTTGTAACCTATTTTTATACAAGCTTAACGCCTAAATGAAACTACCTAAAGGGGTTATTAAACATCCACATTTTGCTATATATTCGTACTATTTGGTCACATTCACTTAAAAGGGGTCAAAACTTTTGACGTCAACTGGCTACCTCTATTCGTTATATTTATTTAAATTTAGATGGAAAATAGGTAAGAAGACGTAATAGAAGGAAAGGGCTATTGCTTAAACAGATGCGTTTGTGAGTGTTAGCAACAGCTTGACTTTCTTACTGTCGGATACTTGTAACTCGAACTGGTCCTTGCCGGGAAGGCAGAGGTCTCTAACAAACTATTATAAATATACATATATACAACTATTTATACCTACATTTTATAATAATAATAATTTATTTTTCTTTCACAAAGGTTAACTTAAAATCTATGATACATTACAAAATATTTATTTATTGCAGACCTTTGTGAGAGACTGGTATCTTGACGCCTTCCTCTCAAAGGTATTTAATATCGTTTTTTATTTGCAGTTTAGGGCAAGCGCATCCGGTATCAACATTGTTTTGAAAGGTGTGGGCAAAAATGGTGTATTTAGATAGTTCAGGGAAAGGAGAAGAAGTCAATGACATAGGAATATAACTTATTTTTTCAACATTTAAGGATAATGCGTTAAGACCTACATGCGCGTAGTTAAACGTCTGTTCCCAATTAGATGCGCCAAAGATTAGGGCTGTGTCATCAGCATAAGTTACAATCTTCCCACTTACGATTTTAAGATCACATAGATCATTAACGAAGATGAGGGTTGGACCCAGTACACTTCCCTGCGGGAAGCCACAATAAACTTCCAAATCTAGTGTAGTCTCACTATTCACGTTATCAATTTTAACGCATTGATGTCGATCAGTGAGATAACTTTCAAAAAACTGTTGCTGTATACTCTTATACCCAGGTTGCCCAGCTTTTCCATAAGCAGTGGCACAGAGACCGTGTCAAAAGCCTTGTCTACGTCCAAAAATACAGCTACTACCTTTTCTTTATCTTCCAATTTATCCACAATATGACCACATTAAGCTCATGAACGGCATCATTGGTAGATTTGTGCCTTCGAAACCCTAATTGAGAATTTGATAATAGATTCTTAGATTCTAGCTAATGTCTTTTCCGCTCTAAAGTGTCGTGGCGCGATGTTAAGTAGGTGAATGTTCGTTCTTTTTATTAATTAAGTTTCCAATAAAATTCCTAAAGCAGAAATACCTTCTCCTAAAATGCTTACTTAATTTAATCAAGCGACAAGGAATGGCAAAATTTAATGATTACAATATGCAATACTATCTGTACCTGCTACGATTCGCTGTGATACATTGTGGTTGCATTGATTACGAATAAGAAATAAAACTTACGCAAAAAATGGATAAAAGCCATCTTTGAAGCGGTTTTTTTTTTTTTTTTTAAATTGAAAAAGTTCAAAACCGTTTGTGCCCAAATTGTTAAAATCTGAGCTCAATCGTTGCTGAACTTTTTGAGGTTTTGAAGCGTACACAAACCAACTTGACATTTATTATATACTCGTACATAAGCTTTTCTTATTGCTAACAATGTCATGAAAACAAAAAGGCCAATAAAATATGATTGGCCTGAGGGCAAAGCCTCAAGCAATTTACAAAATAAATAAATATTTTTTCTTTTATTATTTATTTGTTTATTCAGTATAAAAATAATTAATTTATTCAAATTTGACTGATACTTTCAGAGATTAATTCTTAGCTTTATTACATTAAGCACTGACTTTTGACTTACGAAAATGTTACGATAAATGAAAGAGATGCAACACAGCTAATTAAAGTTAGCCGTGAGATTTCTTGTTTTATCTAAAAGAATATACATATGTTATCGGCTAAGCATATAATTTAACCCGGGTATGGCGAACCTAGTGATTCCAGACAATGCTGCGCCGACCTATGAATGTGAGGATATTTCGCGACTTTAATTTTGTTTTATTTACTACAAGCTGATCTGACGTTTTCCTCTAATTTTTCAGTAAATTGTTTGTTTTTATTATACCTTTATTTGACATCATATGCACTATTTTATGCAAGACTTATAATTATGTAATAGGGGTTAAAGTATGAAATTGTCGTTGTATAGTAATAGATACCTTTAATTGACATAAAACTTTCATGGTGTGAGATTTTCGTGTGAAACTTTTTAACATGATACCTAAAGATTCTTCTTTTGAAAAACGTGCAACATTCAATTTTCAACTTTCAATTGTTTTTTTATTCAGCTTAGACGTGAAAGAATGATACTTCGAAAATCCGAGTCATTTTTGAAAACGAGTTCCGACGCGGAGCTAACGCGGCAGAAACGGCTCGCAATATCAACGCTGCGTTTGGAGAACTTCGACTTGAAGAACGACTCATTTGGAAGAGGTGAATAAAGCTGAATTGAAGTAGATGGTGGAAGCCGATCTGAGCCAAATTATCCAAAAATTTAGCGGCATGGTTTAATGTCACCCTACAAACGATATTGACTCATTTGCATCAAATCAATAATATTTAAAAATATGAAAAAGTTTTGCCTCATGATTTGACTGATCTAGCCTCGCAGAAAGAAATACGTGTTGAAACTTGTGTTGGCTGTTGATTAAATTATTTTTATTAAGTGAGGTACAAACTATGTAGTTGTTCCCATATTTACTTAAAATAAAAATGACAAAAAGGCAATTATTGCCAAGCAATGGAACACTGTAAATTTTGTTATTCTTCAACTTTATTATGGAATGCTCAATTTCTTTACCTATTTCGATGTAGGTATTTTGCAGATTTTTCTAGATCCAGTTATAAGGAACAATATTTACTCTCTTGCATCTATACGTCTTCGTGACTAATAAGTTTCATATAAAGAAAAAAAATCCTTGTCACAAACCGGTTTTGCACAAAGATCACTTCCTTCCTTCTCAACTGGTTACGAACCATCAGTTTCGATGGCGGCGGAAGAGGAAAATTTGTTATTATATAGACTATCAGGTCTCAATATGGAATAAATTACATGTGATATTTAGTCTGAACTCCACTACAAAAAGATTACATATCATATTTTGCCTGAACAAAAAGTCCAAAAATACAGGTTGCCGATAACATATGTACCTATATATACACGATCGTATATATTATGAAAAAAAAATGTGTGTGCGTGCAATTCACACACGCCAGAATTGAATCTTCCGATAAAAACATACACATATATATTTTTTCATCTCAAAAAAAAACCATGTATAATTTTGCCTGGCACGGGAATCGAACCCACTAAGGCAGCGTTTTTCCAAATTCCACGAGTTTCAAATCACAATGATTCTAAAGAAGTTTCACTTCAATAATCAATGAACTGAACACGACTGAATCCTACTCAATATTAATACTACGTTCAAACCCATCTTGAACGAGCAGAACGAATTACCTACACAAAAAATATCCTTATATTACTATTTTTTGTCCTGTATAACAGTCCACTGCTGGACATAGGCCTCTCCTTAGAAAGGAGGCTTTGGTCTACAATACCACGCTGGCCAGACGGGTTGGTATAGGGTTTGTTTCAAGTTTTCCTTCTCTTTGCAGTGCTGTTGTCCTGCGTAGTTTGCTGCCTTAGTCGGCTCTTACGACACCCACGGGATTTATCCGAGCCTATACTGTGGTAACCAGACTGCTGATAAAATACTTATGTTGTTTTAAATGCTGTGTGTATGGGTAATTTATATTTATAGGCAACTTACAGACACAACAAATTATCGTGCTGATCACACAGCTGTTTGTCACGGGTGGGAATCGAACCCACGACCTCCGGCTTAGCAGTCAGGGTTGCTAAGTACTAGTTTATCAGACAAGTTAAAACAAGATGAAGATTTAAGATCAAGATGAAGGTTGGTACTATGTGCTAGAAGAACCATTCTGGAAGAGATATAAATCGAGACATGGCTTTGGCACACCAAGAATGTTACATTACCGTTTATCTTTCATTCAGCACTGCAATAGATCTTGAAGCTTCACATAGGGCTTATAGCGATAAATCTGTTTAAACTTGCTTTATTCTAACAAATTGTACCAATAAAAAAATATTACATTTGGTTGTATGATATAGGCCCTTGCTTAGATATAGGAATAGAGTTGGCCCCCCTACAACTCCGGGTAAGCCTGTCTCTAGCGAGAGTGATGATTACAACGAGAATTTGCATGATGATTAGCCCCAACGCTGAACCAAGAACAACCACTACCGTGATTCCCGGTTCATCCCAGTTCAGCATCGGATAAATATAGGATGTGCCAAAACTGTAACAATAAGAAACTATTATAGTTCACACCACATTAAAACTACATACAAACATAATCACCATTTTAGTGGTGTCTCTGTTTTGGTAAAACAAGCACGCGTTTTTAACCACTTCTGGTTTGGGCTTCGTGGTCTTTTGGCTTTAACTGATTCTAAGATCTTCTCTTTATATGTGTCTATTGACTATTGTACTCCTTCGAATTAAGAGTAAAGTAGTCATTCACTCTGTTGAGCACACGGATGTTTTTTTTTTAAACGAGTCATGATAGATTACAGCCTTAGATGTCAGTCAAGATTGGACTTCGTTATTTATTTGTCCATAATTAACGAGTGACTCTTCAAAACACTAATTTTCTTTTCATGTTTTCATACACGTATAACTATGGAAAGTTGTTTGTTATGACTTACGGACTCAATCCTCCTGCGAAGTGGAAGATGATGGTGAAGATCATGTAGATGATAGCTACTCCGACTGGCCAGTAGAAGTGTAGTATGCGAACAGGGTGCCGCGAGACCAACACCAGCGCCAACATTAGTAACGAGTTGACTAGATGGATAAATAAGTCTAGTACTAAATTTATAGAGGATGCGCCATCTAAAAAAACATTGAAATATTTAGTTCAATCATTTGTGCTGCTGCATTATCCCAAGTTTGTAAAGTAATTATAATAAATAAAGGTCGTTTATAATTCGTATTAACGTAATCATTTAATTTTTAATCTATTCAAAAAAAAGAAGGTTCTCAGCTCTACTTAATAAACTTTTATTTGTGTTCTGTTAGTTGATATTTACGCCGTTTGTAAACTAAATTCCATAACATTTTTTCTAAATTTAGTTCAATATATATACTACTATATTTCACGATAATATTGAACTTCAAGAAAGAAAAATTATTGCAATGCATAAAAGGCATTTTTTTTAATAAAACATTTTTTTGCAGTTATTTAAGGAGTAACTGTTAGCGCTCTCGAATAATTGACCACGTTTCAGTGAATTAGGCATGATTTTGCCTACTACATGTGGCATAGACGCCTAATTTTTTAATCTTTTTAAAATTTTAAGGCAACTACTAATTAATCAATGACGAAAGAGACAGGTGACTATCTTTTTTTTAGGTTTGGGATACAGGAATGGAGATCCTGCTCGACAAGTCAATTCCTACTTCAACTAATCTCCTGATAGTCTGATTGCATAATATTCAATTTAAAAAAAAAAACTAGTTCTATCAAACCTCACCAGTGCCTATGTCCGCAAGAAAGATCCAATAAAATATGGTTATAAAGAAAGCAATAGGGGTTGCAATGTTGATGAAGATCCAATAAGTCTTCGTGTACCACGGCAGTCGTGAACCTTCATCTGAAAACATAACAAACTTACTGTATACTATGAGCCTTCTTACTCTAATAAATTATACTACCAAAAAAGGGCACAACAACCATTTTGCAAATTAGAAGAAAATCGAGTTTAAAATATTTTTAGTTATATTTCAGTTCTTAGTTTTCGGCGAAAAAAAAGGACAGTATTTTATTTATCGAAAATGTATGAATGAAAATAGTATCTACATAATTTTTATAGGATTATTTAATTACAAGTTTTTATTAAAAATTTAATTTTTTTTCAACTTAAAAGAAAAAAATAAGTAAAATTAATATGGAATCCATTCAATAAAAGGGATATTTAACCATTTTATGCCCTTTTTCCTTATAACGGCAGCACAGATTACAATCTGTGGACGGCAGTATAGTGTATCATCTCTATTTTAAATGTTCACATCATGACTACTCTATTTATGAGCGTCGTAGCTGTAATTATAGCTGTTTTTTTTCGATATCAGAATACACAAAGGACACGGGTCGTCTGACAGTAAGTGACGACCTTACGTACGCTCTTTTCTGGAAGGTTTGAAGGTCCTTTCAGTCCGGAATCACCCAATACTTCAATTAGTTCAGACTCGCTGAAGGATCCATTATGTTTTTTGAACACAGTTGTCCATTTTAAGATTGGGAAGATTGTACAACGTAAGAAGTGAGAAAGTCATTATAGATGAAACTTTATGATGATGAAAGTATTTGAAATTAGACGGGATGTAGAAGTGCTATGCCGAAACCTGTGCGTAAGCATTTATTTTTATTTAACTTTTAAGACATTCTTATCTACCTATCTATTATGTATATTAGGTGCGTGAAATACATGGAGTAGGTTGTACGAAATATTTTTTTTGGTTGCCGGGGTGGAAATCTGCGGATCTCTGACCCACCGAAACACCCCGACGTCCAATCTCAGGCGTCCTATTCTTGGCAGGACCCGGACATAGGATTTTAGGTCTTCTTAACCCTATCCCGGGGAAGTCATTAGGTGAAGATTTATTGATATCTTTTGAATAAAACCCGTCTAGTCATTTAAGTTAACAACATTGTAATGTAATAAACACACACAATAAATAAATTGACAAAATAAGGTTTTCATCTAAAAATAAGTTTATCTTTAAATGTTCAAATAAACATTCACAGAAATCAAATCCATTAACTTTTTACAACTTCGTTATAGACCATTACATGATGAAACATTCTTCTGTAATTCTTTCAAATTTAATTTAGTCAGGAACATCCCACGACAAGCCTTAATATCTTATCTTATTTATTTAATTATTGCTGCGTTCGCGACATCATGTTTAGCAGGTACACAAGCTGCTTAGTTCGCGGCACGTCCTTTCTCTGACTACGGTGTTCGTGACTATGCACTACTCATATAAAGATACATTCCATGTCACAGATTATTTAGTCACACGTATTGAAACACATTTTTTTTGTAATACTATGTAATATACTGAACGTTGGTAACGATTAGTTTATTTTATTTTTTTAAATAAAGATACATGCAGTGTGCATTCGTGCATTTTTAGGGTTCCGTGCCCAAATGGTAAAAAACGGAATCCTTATAGATTCGTCATGTCTATCTGTCGGTCCGTCCGTATGTCACAGCTACTTTGTTCCGAAACTATAAGAATTATACTGTTGAAAATTGGTAAGTAGATGTATTTTGTGAACCGCATTAAATAAATAACCCATAAATTTTGGGGGTGCCCCATACTTAGAACTGAAACTCAAAAAAATTATCAAACCCATACGTGGATACCATCTATGGATAGGTCTTCAAAAATGATATTGAGGTTTCTAGCATCATTTTTTTCTAAACTGAATAGTTTGCGCGAGAGACACTTCCAAAGTGGTAAAATGTGTCCCCCCCCTTATAACTTCTAAAATAAGAGAATGATAAAACTAAAAAAATATATGAGGTACATGCAAACTTCCACCGAAAATTGGATTGAACAAGATCTAGTAAGTAGTTTTTTTTAATACGTCATAAATCATAAACCGCAATTTGCCTTTTATTCAATCAACTCAAATATAAAAAAAAAACAACATTTAATTTCATATACATAAACCTTATGCATAAACCGTGAACCATTATTTTCTAATAATAAATCTGTAATAGGTGCCGTGGGGCGTGGCTTGATCGGTAGCGGGTGCGGAAAGCGCGGGGGGCAGGTTCAAGAACTTATATATTATGTTACTTGCTGCTACGGAACCCTTCATGGGCGAGTCCGACTCGCACTTGGCCGCTTTTTATATCTGTTAGCACCAGACTGACTATACAAATGAAATTTGTTTTGTCGAGACCGTGGTTTGAGTGGGTCAATATTTGGGTAATTTCGATATGCAAAAATGTTATCTTCTTATCGTATTATGATTAACATCCGCTTATCATATATAGCAGATTAACAGAAGGTTATATACATTTCACAAAATCAAAATGTACACGTTCCTTTGAATTTGATTTAGAACAACATTTATTCATTTAAAATATATGTCTATTTGATTTCCCTGTAATTTTAAAGTAGCACATGCAACAGTTTTAGAAATTCTTGGGTAAAGAACTTCAGATAAAAGTTTCATCAGGCAAATACTCTTGATTCTATATGTAGGGATAATACTAATAAAATAGGCAACCCATATAGTTATGTTTTACAGTTAAAAACACTTTAGACCGCTTAAGAGTTCTGACTATAACGTTTATTTGTCTTCCTGTTGATGAGATAGTTAATACGATAAACGTAATCACGAATAAGTACTAAGTAGGGGAGAGCGGAAAGAAATAGGCAAGCTGCTCTGAAATACCTACCTCAGCCAAAACCATCATTATCACCGTATAAGACCTGCAGCGACGTTCCGGTCGCAAAGCAAGAATGTATCATTTTGAGCATTTTAAATACTGTACTATAGCAATATTTCTGTGCAAAATAACATTGTTGTTTCAAACTTGTAAAATTATAATTGAATGTAAATTGTATTCGTAAAACTTTTAACTAGTTTCTTAGATTATTAGAGTAAATAAGCATATACTTTTTTTTTTCATTTCATTCAGATCCTCCTTGAGATGAAGAGGTCTGTTGAACTCTTATCGACTATATGCCGCCCTGGTAGAAGAGTTTTACCCAAGACGAGCTCTGTCGTCCAGTGCAACCATCATTTGTAGCTTGGACTTATCTAAGAATCACGCTCGGAATAGTGAGTGTTCTCAAAACTTTCCACGACTGCTTAGAATTCCATAAAAATATATGTATATTTCGTAAATTTCGTATGTAAAATATATTTATATGGTCCGTGGGGTGATGGATTAAGAATACCGGGTGTCACCACCCCTATTCATCCCGTGGGTGTCGTAAAAGCCGACTAAGGGAAAAAAAGGAAAAAAAAGAGAAGGAAAACTTGACACAAACCCTATACCAGCTCGTCTGGCCAGCGTTGTATAGTATACCAAAACCTCCTCTCTAAGGAGAGACTTCAGTGGACTATTTAAGGCTGTTGAAGTGATGATGATGTGATATGTATATTTGTTACATAATGACATCACTATGTTAATAAATTAATATACATAGGTATTTAACCAATTTTGCATTATGTGTCAAAAATTATAGAAATATTATTATTTTTATTATTATTATATGATTAAACAAAAAACTTTGTAACTTTGAGTCAGAAAAAACTGATCCACCGTTACCAACTCTCCCCTACTATGGTACATTCTTATCATTATTACATGACACTTCTATATTTTTGTACTATCATATGTACCGGTAAGAATACTATTATTCATTTATTAGCTTTTATTGTCAACTGATATCGATTGTTAAATTATCAGCACGTTTTCACGACATAAGGCATCATTCTTTGCTCTAGACAAAACGAAATACTTTTAATGTCATTCATTAAAAAGATAAAATGGGCAAAAACAATACCATGATACCATACAAATAGTGAAACTTAAAAATGGACTGAGAAAATTGAATGAGAACAAAACAATTAAATTCATTCAATCTTAACAAATTTAGCTCACGGAGAAATATAAAATTATATTAATGTTGGATAAGAAGAAGCTTCTATTTATATAAGAAGGGTATTAAAACTCTTCTATGCATTGGAAAGCACGACACGTTAAGCGTACGGTCCCGGTTGCTATACGAACATCTGTGACAATCTTTACGGGTTGTTGGAGCCCTAAAAAGTCCAACAACAGTCTTTTTACAGAACTTCGATATCGTCTAGTAGGATTGTGGAGGTCTGATGGCAGACACTCCGCGTAAGAAGTCGAGGTTCAGCCATATCGTAGTAGAATTAAAGCCAAACCCAACCTAGTTTAGGTAAAAGGCTAGGAGTAAGAATTGGATAAGAAGAATTTTTTGTCTACTGCTTATTTGGTTCTACAAATCATATGAATGTTAGTTATGTAAATGCAATAACTTACCATTAGCATCAGATCCTTTAGAAAGCGCCATTATAGAAACGATTAAAGCGAAAATAGAAGCTAGTAGATTAAATATTAAACCCCAATGAGTTAAGAAAATGAACCAACTTCCTATATTGGAGCTCTGTGCAGTCATGATCATTGAAGCAATCACTGTTCCAGCACATCCCACAAATATAATAATCCTCAAGAATAGCAAAGGCAGAACGCTCCGATTCCTTTGGCAAGAAGCCAGGGTAAAGTCCATTATATTGTCATGGTTCATGAAAAATGTGTTCGCACTGAACTCCTTTTTAAAATATCTTTTTACAGCAACCATTTTATTTCGTAAATTAATTGCTAAATTTTCCGCAACACGTCCGCCTTTCGCTATCGACACGACTCTTATCTCGCGTATATATACTTTTGTGGTTTGTATGTTTTTTTTATATGATCACTGGTATCTGTGATTTTTGCTGATACTGCGAACACTGCCATCACCTGCGACAGCAATAGAATCTAACAACGGGTGTAAGTCAGAATTTAATCGCGATAAAGTTTGAGTTCACCTGTGACTATGATTCGTACAATTCAGTTAGAACGCCTGATGATAAGTAACTACTGCTGCCTATGGACACTTTTACTTCAAGAAACACGAGTGATTTGCCACCATTTGAGTGTCCCCACCCCAGGGTTAGAGGGAGGGAGTTGAAGCAATAAAAGAATTGTTTCATATCACTTTTGAGGCTGTCGTATTACTCCGTTAGCCCATATGTGTCTGAGCAAGGCTCTCCCACGGTTACATCTGTAAGGTTACTTTCAGACATTAAATTTTTCAAGTTATTAGTATTCCCTTTTCCAAACTGAACCGTATAAGCAATATCCTTTTCCTACCGATGCCTTTACTTCTTATCTATGTTCCTATAAATATGAGAAAAAGATCCCTGTTGACGGTAATATATTTATCCCCTATTATACATTATAAGTGGCACTAAAATTATAGTTTGACTGCACGGATGGTGTAGTGGTTGAAGCGGTCACCTCGCCGCTTCTTACTGCGCTGAGTTTTGTGGTTTCGATCCCCACATGGAACAACACTTTGCGTGATCCACAAATTGTTGTTCTGGGTCTGGGTTTATAAAGTCCCCCGCGACACATGATATGTTCTTTTAAAAAAGAAAAGAAAAAAGTTTACTAAATGCAGGAATTAAAATATTGCTTACTATCATTTGATAATGAGTAAGAATACCTAACCGTTATTTTAACTAACGTATACGGAGCGCCTGACAAAAAAGATATTAATAAAAAAAAAAATTAAAATATTAAAATAAAATTAAAATATTGCTTAAAATAACGGTTAGGTATTCTTACTCATTATCAAATGATAGGATAATGAGTAAGCATACCTAACCGTTATTTTAACTAACGTACATACTTATACGGAGCGCCTGACAAAAAAGATATTGCAGTTTTTAAAATATCATACCTAAAGGCGGTTTTATTACGTATCGATGTCATAGTGTAGGCCAAATATGAAACTATTTGTATTGTTCTCGAACTAATGTAAGAAGTAATAGATCTTTTGAAAGACATTTATTATTAATATTATATAGTAGGAACTCTTTATGGCACATCAAAAAAATCTTGTGCAATCAAAAATATGCCAAGAAGCAGTACAATGAACGGTCTCAACGCAGTGGGCGATTTCTTGCAGATAATCAGGATAGACTTTACTGTAAAAGCAAAAATAGATACACATATGATCCGTGTAGTGACGGATTAAGAATATGGAGTGTCATCACGCGTATTCATTCCCTGGGTAACGTAAAATCCGACTAAGGGAGCAAACTACGCAGGACAACAGCACTGTAAAAAGAAAGGAAACTTGAAACAAATCCTATACCAAATCATTTGGCCAGTGTGGTATAGTAGGCCAAAACCTCCTTTCTAAGGAGAAGCCTATGTCTAGCCAGTTGCCCACTAAAGGCTGTGATACATCATATAGTAAAAGGGAGTGATGATGATGATGATACAAACATTCATATATACATACATATTCATACATCCATATATACATACAAGACCCATAAAGAGTATTTAGTTATTTAGGAGATAAGCAATGATCCTTGAGAAGAATATCGATGATCGAAACCGTTCTTTGCTGCAAAAAGGACATTATGATTACATTACTAAAAGAAATACTAGGTCATTGCTGAAAATATTTTTATTACGTAACTTACTATCTAGAATTGAAGATATATATAAATGTATATAATAGGAAAGATGTGCCTACGGCACAGAGTATTTTTATCAGATACGGAATATGAGTAATGACAGTGCGTTATACAACCATGTATAGTCGAAGGGCTCAAAGTACTATATATAGACTCAAGTTTTATAGGCTTTAATCACTTGGTTTATGGTTCGACACTAAGCTGACAGTTAAATATACAGCAGATTATTGTAATAAGTAATTCAGATCGTTACTGTGTATTGCGATTGCAATCTTCTGATTATAAAAATATTTATGAACATTATACACCTAGTTGCGTGGCAATTATCTTTTTCTTTGAAACCCGTAAATTTAATGACAGAAATTTAAATATTATTAACCACTATTAATGAGTATGTACTAAAATTAGTACTTTACCCCTTGTGGGATAAAAGTTGAAAGTGTATGTATGTACAAACACTCACAACTTTTATCCCAGAAGGGGTAAAGAGAGGCGTATTAAAGGTCTAAATTTTGCCGATTACATATGTATAATTCAAGTCGCAGCTACATAATATTGGGCAAGTCTATTGCCGTCCACCAGTCACATATATTTCTAAATATACATACTTATCTATTAATAAATACATTCATATTGTACACAAATTACACCCGAATACAGAACAGAACGATCGTGCTCATCGCACAATTTTTTTCCTAGGTCGGAATCTGGCTTAGCAGTATGGATCGCTCACTACAGGACCAACCAGGTTCCAGAAAATTATCGTTTCGTAGGAAAGCTCGGCAGCGGATTGATCAGTTGATTGGGGCTTAATCTATGCTTCACTATTTTCTTAACGCGAATGGACTATAGATAACATAGATTCAATATTCATAAATCAGTTGACGGTATTAAATGAATTAGTCTGCCTTAATCTCAGTGTAAGCTTCTTTCTGGTGACAGTGATGCCCACTAAGATTGCATGCAAGACAATTAATCCCACAGCAGAGCCAATTACTACACCTATCGTCGGTCCCGGGTTACTCCAGTTTATCATGGGATAAATCCATGACTCGCCAAAACTGCAAAAAAAATGCAAATGTCAATAATAATATGTGCTGTAACACTTGTTGCTTTTAAAGTTTGAACGACAACTCTACTACAAGTCGGCAGCCCACATTTTATAACATATAAAATTTTGTACGCGGTAACAAAATTTTATATTTTATAAAATTTCTTTACACAGTCTTCTATACAAATAAATAAAATTGGAGTGTCTGTTTGTAATATTAAAATAACCGCTTTTTACTAAATGCATATGTATGTTCACACGGTACATATGCCAAAATAACATCTTTTTTCAATATTTGTCTGTCTGTCTGTCTGTTTCTTCCGGGTAATCTCTGGAACGGCTAGACCAATTTCGACGGGACTTTCACTGGCAGATAGCTGATGACATAAGGAGTAACTTAGGCTACTTTTTTTAGACAAGCTTCGCCCCGCGGAGTTGCCCGCGGTTATAACAACAAACGCGGGTAACACCGCGGGTCTCAGCTAGTATAAAATAAAGTCACTTTTTTCTGTTGTACGCTTAGATCGTTTAAACTACGCAACGGATTTTAATGCGCTTTTCACTAATAGAGATAATGTTTCAAGAGGAAGGTTTATATGTTTGATACATGTATATAGCTGTGAAAATCCGAGAATTTCAAAGTATTGTCGTAAAAAGATCTATAAAAAAGTGTGCAATGGTATAACCCATGTGGATAACCCATAGAAACCATTTTTATTTATTAAATCTTATGAAAAAAGAATGTTTATTTACGAAGCTATTTTAAACACTACATTATTATTCCTTATCTAATTAAATACGTTAAATACATTATGCATTTAATGTAGATTAATTAATTGCTCTTTACAGCATATCATTAAAATTTATATTTTGGAAGATATGCTTGAGGTTTAAAACGCGGGGGCAAAGCGGCCGTCGCCGCGTCGGGCCGTACAGTCCCGGGTGGCAGCGGCTCTTCTCGTTTGTAGATGATTTTGAGATTTGTAGATGAAGTTAGGTTACTGCCACCACTGCTGTCGTATTCTGCCGCGTAAAGGCGAATATTACGTGAAGTAAGACATATTCCGTTAAATTTCGTCAAGTGTTCTGAACTTCGTTGAATGATTTTCTATCTTCATTAAAGTTCACTTGAGTCACAAGTCGTCAGAAAACGTCTTCCTTAAGAAAACTAGCTTCTATTGATCAAATCGACACGGTATTGTTATGAATGTGCCCTACACGTAAAACAAAGAGTCTACTGATAGGGTAAACAAACGTAAGAGAGAGATAATAAAAATTATCATATTAATAATATTAACCACTTATCCAAAAACACATTTTTTAAACCCCGATCAATCAGGAATTTCTAATCGAAACGATAGAATCGATAGAGTATATCGAATTGATTAGGAATTTTCATAAGAATTTAAAAATAAATTACCCTTGAATAACTTTCAATATTTATCTATTTTACCATGAGAGGAAAAATATACGTCTAAAACGCATATACTTGTACCTGTATTAATCTGGACATATCGTATACATACTTATGATGACTTACGGACTTATTCCTCCTGCGAAGTGAAAGATTACGGTGAAAATCATGTAGATGAAGGCAGCACCCAGCGACCAATAGAAGTGTAACAGACGAGTGGGATGTCGAGAGACCGCCACTAATATCAACATTAATAAGGAGTTCACTAAATGGATGAACACGTCTAGCACTGGATTCATACCAAATGTGTCACCTGAAATGTATTTTTCTAATTAATACTAAATTCCAATTACACTTTCATAATTTGACCATTATGTTACACAAATTTTGGAAGTTATACCACTACAAATGTGTGCATCTGTATTAAATGCCTTTTTGCAGCAACTACCGAATTGCGTATTTACTCACATTTAAATAAGATTTTATTTCTATATTCCCCCTATCCAGTTAATGTTTTTCTTATTAATAACTGTTATTAGGTACTACGTAAATACGTATTATACCTATAATACGTATTTAAGAGTTATACATTATAGGTAAACACATAGAAACAAAGATTATTACGAGCAATTTGATGATAGTAAATTTTGTGTAAGTTTGAGCCTGTTCAATAATATTGCATATTTTGTTGCACCGCCTGTCTAAAGTGACTATTGAAGACTGATGATTATGGTGATTTTGTTAAACAAAACGAAAAGGCATAATATCAATTCAAAGTCACGTCCTCAAATAAAAAGCATTCCTTATGACAATGTTACACTTATAACTGAACGTAACTTACTTAAATCAGTGAGCATCGCAAAGTAGAATATGGAAATGAAGAGTGCTATAGGTATTGAGATGTTGTAAAATGCCCAGTATATCTTTACGTACCATGGCAGCCCCAAACTTGCATCTGTAAATTGTAATTTAATTTAATAACTGTAATACAACACAATACCTCTTTTTTTGTCACAAAAATGAACTTTTAAAAAAATATATTATTAAAGCAATAAATAAATAAACTGTTACTGAAAATGCAAGATTATCACATGACAAAAGAACAAATCAAGAATGTTACAACATAATCTACGTTCAAGGTAATGCGTATTGGTGACTGAAGATGTATTGTCCATGTTTTGAATCGTAAATCTAAATAAAAGAAAATAATATTTTAATTTTGCAATAAAATGAAAAATCATAGTGCTTGCATTAAACTTCAATTTAATATTTTTTGGAAGCTAGACATACATAGCATGGATGAGTCTCAAGTATTAAAAAGAGGAATTAAGGACCCATAAATTACGAAGAATATATTTTTCTCTATTATTTTAGAAAACTTTCAGCTAGAAAAACTGCATACTCTCTCTTCCATTCGTCATGAAGCAATGATTTGCCTAGTTTTAAGTGGAATTATTACACGATAGGAGTACATGATCAATTAACTGAACCCGACAAAACTAGTTATGAGCCATTTAAGGAAAAAAGCCTAATGATTAGACAAATATCTCACATATAAGTGATTCATATGTACATAAGACTTGTTGATATTGCGTATCAGTCCCTATATATCATGTCACTTTGCAGGTGCATATCACACATGATATATATGTATATGAATATTATAATAAATCGATTTAGAAGAATAATTATTGTAATCAATAATTCTAGTTTTGGTATCTTAATTCAGTGATTAGCACATTACAACGTAATGAAAAAAAAACATATGTTGTTTAATAGTTTTCACAATAGAACTAGAAGGTATCTATTGCTATTTTAATATTTATAATGTTACCTCCTATATTGATGGTCGAACTAATTTTGGTTTTTTCAATAGATTTGTAATTATTTTTTAATTCTTAGTGCTCTTTGTTAGTAGTTTGAAGTCTGTACAGACTTTTTTAAAATGATTTATTTTATCATTTTTAGTGTAAGATACGTTTGTAATGATTAGATACGATATTTAAAACACAACGTACTGTAATGTTTATATTACCAAACTGTAGTATGTTAGTTCATATTAAATTTAGTTCAATAAGTCCTTACCTTATTTAAGAAGTACCATATTTACCTTATTTAGTAGTTACCTTATTTAAGGTAGTAAGATGTTAAATTGGAACCCAATATAGTACTTGATTTGCCACCATTAGGAGTGGCATTTTTTCTTCACATTTGAATATACCCAAATAAAAATAGAACCAAAGGGAAAATATACCCAAATAAAAAAATAATTTACGAAATCGCTTAACAAATGAAAGAGTTTTGAGGTAAGAAACACGAAAATAATTTCGCATCAATCTTTTTTTTTGGGTAATCTCATTTATTACTTTCTTATGCACATATCTCTGAAATCCAACACGAACACCTAACAATTATCTTTGAAAGAATAAAACAATCAATACATGATTATATTATTGAAAGTTAGCCTCTACTCATAAAGGTCAAGGACCCTTCCATCATCAACACAGTAACATGAGATAACGACTACCAAACGTAAATACCTGTATTAGCTAGAGCGACAAGCTAAAACACGTAGTCGGGGCTGTAAAATTTGAGGGTTTCTCTCGATTTCTCAAGGATCCACTCATCAGATCCTGATTTGGTGGTAATGCATCCTCTTCGGGAGTATACCCTTTCGATTAAAGAAAGAAATTTGAAAATTTGTTTATAATTAAAATATCACGTTACAGACATTCAAAAAATACAGTCGAATTGAGAATCTCCTCTACTGTGTGTAACTTATTTCGAAGTATAACTTACCGATAGGTCCTCTTGAAAACGCTATCACAGAGACGACGAAGGCCTGTCCACAGGCCACAGTGTTCAGTACAAGTCCCCAGTGGGTTAAAAATATAAACCAAGTACCAAAAGTCAAAACACGAGACGTAATAACCATTGAAGATATCAATATACTAACGCACCCTACAAAAATGATAGTTCTTATAAACAGCAGTGGTATAGCAGACCGGTTCCTTTGCCAAGAGCTCAGGTAGAAATCTGACGCACTATCGTGGCCTAAGGACAGCATGTCCACTGTAAACTCTTTTTTAAAATATTTCTTAACACGATCCATTTTATTTTGTTTTACAGTTTGTTGTAATGTGTCGATGGCGCACCTGCCGGCCGTCGCTTGAGAAATATTTATTATCTCTGATTTAGTTACTTGTGGACTGTCGTGATATGGACGGATGACCATATCGTTCTGTAAATAACAGTAGATAACAATTTTTGCCGATTTAATACAAAAAAAGCAAATCGATAACAGCCTTAACCTTTTTACAAATGTTTATTTTTACGATTCTATTAGGTACTCACCCCTACTACCACAGCTATTCTTATAAAAAACAAAAACGAAACAGGGCATGTCTATTAATAATAAAACAATACTGTATATTCTCTGACCGCACATAATATAGGTTTTGTTTTTATGTAAAACCGCTATGATTTTTACTTTTTGGAACGTTCCTTATCGCGCGTTGTGAAAGGGGGCTAGACGGAAAAAATTCGTACGAAAATTTGGAACAACACTTTTTTATTAATATAAATTGACGTCTAACTGTGGATACCATACATTAAATTTGCTTTAACGTTCGCCAACGTCCATACCATGTTGAATACACCGGTTCTCGTCCGATCACCGAAATTAAGCAACATCGGGCGTGGTTAGTACTTGGATGGGTGACCGCCTGGGAATACCACGTGATGTTGGCTTTTTGCTCTTTAGTTTCGTGTCATCTTGTCAGATATTCAGCGCCATCTATCGAATAGATAGGAAATCATTTCGCAAGGAGATTTTACCAATGTATAAATGTTTTAATTGTTTTTAATATGTAGGTAATAGCCGCTTTCATAGATGGCGTTGTAATTAAAATCGTGTCAAATCAGTTTTACTCGATCGTCACAACTTCGTTCCTATCGGGTGTCCCACGACACCACACGGCTTTTTTATTATTACTTTATGTTAGTTTTTAGAAGAAGATAGGTAATTAAAGAAATGATAAAATTATTAATAGATTTCATGTTTTATTATTTACAAACTATACAAAGAAAGCTATATATTATATTCTACAATCAATTTCTATAAATACATTATAGGTATGACATTATAGCCTATGTAGTATCTTACCAAACTAAAATCACAGTGCGCTTTGATAACAAATATTGTTCTACTTCTAAAGTATATAATGCTAATTGAAGTTTTCAGGTTTTTATTTTAAATAATTATAAAGTATTTTTTAAGTATTATCAGTACGTACGTACTGTAATCACTGGTTTTCAAACAGTGCTCGATTTGTCGAATTAAATTAAGTACTTAACAACATTGTCTTGTACATATTGATTCAAGATTTTATAAATTATTTTATCACATTTTCATACACCTTGCTTTGTCTGATGTCACAACATTACGAAAATACGTGGTATTAAAACAACTTGACGCAGAGGCGGTTCAGTTTTCATCCATTCCGTCGCTTCGCACTTGGGCCTCTGTTCTTGTAAAACCGATGTATACATCAGAGCATATATGTTATATTTGTTCTCACGGAATGTGTATTTATCAAAGTAAATTCAAAACTGAATTTTTTAAACACTATATTTATTAGAACCTTACAACATTTACTTCTTTGGCTTCTTAAAGATTCATTCACAAAGGATCTAGCCACGAAGAAGTAGTCCGAGGTGATGAGGAAATAAATTGGAGTCCTGGTGATTTCTTCCAATCTCAAGTTTAGTCACATTTTTATCGGGTACATTAAGGCGTAAACGCATCGTTGTAAACGCCAGCTGTGTCTGACTGCCTTCTCTTAGCAATCGCATCACGTGCTGATGCTAAGCCCACGACTATCAAGTGCATGAGGGCTAGGAACAATGCAGTTAAAGTGATCACTACGAGTGTCTGCTCAGGTTTGGACCAGTCCACTACAGGATAGATGAATGGGTTGCCCCACCTGAAAGGAAAAAAAAAAAATGTAGTGAAATTGTAGATACATTTGTATGTTGGTTGTTAGTAAAGTGAAGTAACTAATGAATGTATTCTTATGCTATACAGCGAATTACGTCTAGGATTAAATATACCATATCCATTATTTCTTTCTTTACTTTAAATTTGACATGATCCAATACGATAACAAAAAAACAATAACATTAAAATTGTGAAACGTACATAGAGGGAATAAACAAATGTTTTAAAAAGTTTTAAAAATCAATCGAGCAATATTTCAAAAGAACAGTTTATACGTTGTTGTGTGTGTTGTATATACGGGTTATAAAGGATTTAAGCTTTTCTTTAATGTCATAAATGATGAGGTGTTAATTTCTAAACGGTAAACGACAAAAAAACATTTAAAATATCGAAAATTGCGACAATGACAAGTTCCTCATTTAAATTAAATTACTCATACTATTAGTAGCGACACGTCATAAATATGTGGTGTTGACAACCTAAAGGGAACAGCCTTATTAGGTTGTATATATTAAATTTTATAAAGTGCATTCATTTATTTAGTCCATATCTTTATGTAATATATTTCTGTTTAATAGTGTATTCATTAGCAAGAAGGCAGCGTTTATATTTAATAAACACTCATATGTGCGCACCTCAATACATATTTGAACTTTACAATCAAGGTTCTTGTGTTATGTTTAAACGGACACATACTAAATGACTATGGTCGTTCACATTTCAGCAATTACCATAAAGAATTGTATGTTTAGTATAATGCTAAAATTCAACAGTTATTACTAGCAGTGCTGTGCAATTTCAATATGACTATTCAAATAAGTTTAAAGGTACAATTCTGAAGTATATATTATTAATTGTTGAATACCAAACGTTGACAGATGAAATATTTTAGGGAATGTATGGACCAGTTGATACCCTGTCCTAATGCCTGTCCAATCACAGGAAGGAGATCCCGATGCGCGATCCAGTCCCGACTTGTAGTGTCCACTGTCATGTAATTTCGCTTTCCTTACTCAAATTTAGTGTCTAATATGGAACTTTGATTAAATAAATTAAATTCTTGGACTATGCTACAATTTTATGTCCTAGTTTTTTAAAGCTACTTGTTTGCATTTTGAAATGTTTACATCGGTATCTACTTGATTCTTGCACGGTGTTACAGTAAAAATTATTAAAATATTTATTAATTTATTTTCATTTATTCATTTTATTTTAAGAAGGCTTACAGACATATTTAACACACTTTGCATCAAGAAAAATATCAATAAAATAAAAATAGTCAGACAGAGTAAGTATTAGGGAGTAGTAGGGAGAGGTTTATAGTATGATAACATTCGCCATCCAAAAAAACTATATTAAGATCGGTGTATCAGAGAAACTTAGACTTTAAACTTTTAACCCCTGACTCATCACTACGGGTTAAAAATACGTCAATATCATACGAATGTGACCTCATTACCTGCGAAACCTTTATATGCATAAATAGCTTATTATGATATTAATATACGTTTGAACAATTAATGACACATTTTAACAACTCTGTTGGTACGTGATATCAGAAATACATGTATGTTTTTGAGCCGTTTTCAATGCAGATTATTTAAAAACCACATCTACTTTTCATACGGGGTTCTCTTGTTTTTGTACAGTTCTTTTTATTGATAAATGTCTTTGCTTCAGTCTATTTGTCTCTTCTTTTTGCTACTTATTGTATGTATTTCTATGGTAGTTTACGCACTAGATCCGACTTCCGTCATCCGACTTCTTTGTGTTATCCGTGAATTTCCATTCCGGAGAAGATTATTGACGGACCAAAGTAGCCATACTATTCGCACGAACGAACGCATCAAGAATTTCTTATTTCTGTGCCGTTTAGCATTGTCAGAAGTTGACGTGAACGCTTTAGTGTGGCTTCGCGTAAAATGACGTATGCTAAAAGGTGTCCCTTGCATTGCTTGGATTATAATCAGAGATCGCAATAGCAAAATTTACAAGTCCCTAAAGTAATTAGTTCCAGTTAACCGGTAACCTCATATATACTACTTGCTATGTGTGTGTGTTGCTATGGTGGCTTATTTGGTATTAGAAGCCCAAGTGCGAGTTTATTTCAGAGCAACTCGATCGTCCCGGTGAACGCGTTCGGCGCGGCGTTGCGATTGGTGAAGATTTCAGTGCGTGCGGCGGGCGGGCGGCAGTGATTGTTGTCGAGAGCGAGTTGATGTGAAATAAAATCGCACTTGGGCTTCTGATACCAAATGGGCTTAGCCCTGAGATAATCATAGGCAAAAACGCAATCAGAAATGCAATTCTACACACGAGTAATTGATCTATAAAAGTTTAATTGTCAATCTTCCAACGGCTGTAAACTGGAAACATGATTAACTTGTCACCTTTATCTGCTGTAGCGCATAATGATTATTTTCCTATGACTGTGGTTAAATGTATAAAGATAAAAAAATAATTGTGATCGTACTCATTTTACAATTATTTGTCCAGGGTGGTAATGGAATCCACAACCTCTGGCATAGCAGTCAGGGTCACTAACCACTAGACCAACAGACCAATAGAGAATATTAAAATAAATAGATACACCGTATATTCTTACTCATTAATTTATAAAAAACCACGGTATGTGATTGGCCAACTCTAATAAAGTACATAATTATTGTTAAGAAATACAAGTGTGAAAAATCAACAAAACCCGTAAAATTCCCACGAAATCTCGTCCGAATGGAATAAACAAAAACGTATTTGAACAGTTCGCAGATGGAGTACTGATATTATAGACAATATGCGTTTATATACCTTGTATTCTGTTTACTCTGTTCCCATGCTATTTCGTGTGAATAAATATGAGATTAAAATAAATGAATGCTATAGATAAACGTATAGCGCAAAACATGATGGAGGTTTAACCTGATATCTTTTAGGATTGATAAATGTCTTCTAAACTGATACACTGATGTAAAGACCTAAATAATTCTGAGTCGACGCTAAACATATAAGAAGCAATCACAATCAGATAAAACAATTGAAATGAGATTTTCCACTGCATATTTTATCTGTATACTTTGAAAACTCTTACATACTTTAATAAAAATGAATGTCTGAAAATCATATATTTGAGGGTTACTGAAAGATTGACTTGATTGACCATCATAAATCGAAAAATCGGTTTTGTGTATTCTAGACTACGCAAATGGCTAATAACCAAGATTTGGTGGTGGTCTCAAGCTAGAGCTCCAGACGCTAATGGATATATTTTTAAATCTGGGTATTAAGTCGAGTTATCTAATTGCTGTTATCATATATAACCGAAATAGTTGGAACGAAGTTCCTTATCGCGCGTTGTGAAAGGGGGCTAGACGGAAAAAATCTCACGAAAAGTTGTAACGACACTTTTTATGCCAGTCATTCAGCGCCATCTATCGAATAGATAGCAAAAAGCCAACATCACGTGGTATTCCCAGGCGGTCACCCATCCAAGTACTAACCACGCCCGATGTTGCTTAACTTCGGTGATCGGACGAGAACCGGTGTATTCAACATGGTATGGACGTTGGCGAACGTTAAAGCAAATTTAATGTATGGTATCCACAGTTAGACGTCAATTTATATTAATAAAAAAGTGTCGTTCCAAACTTTCGTACGAATTTTTTCCGTCTAGCCCCCTTTCACAACGCGCGATAAGGAACTTCGTTCCAATAAGTAGGGGTGAGTGTATGTATGGATATCATTAAATACACCTTGACTTATATCATAAAAACGTACAGATGTTGCGTGTTACGAAATCACTTTATTGTGCTAGTTTACTTCTTTATCGTGTGACAAGAATGCAAGGTAAACTCCTAACAAAGATTACACACACATTATTCATACAGGTCTTTGTTCGACCTTTTATTGTGTATTTTCGTGTTGTCCTCTTTGTGTCAACCTTTTTACCCATAATACGAACCAAGGTCTCCTAACATACACTACAGGCACTTAATCTTGAGAGTTATGCATTTGTGAATGACCTCCTCTTCAAATTGACCATGCGCCTTTTGACTAGTTGTTGATATTATTGCGACATATCACCAATCTCTGAACGAACAATCGATTTGTAGGTGATAATGTTGATCTTGAACTTTTATTTAATGCATGACTAACTTTGAAAAGACATAATGCTGCTGAAGTCTGAGTTTTAAAATGAATAGAATATTCATATATTACTGTTAATATTAGTTTAATTGCATCAAATCTGCGACTGTAAATTTAAAAATAAGTTGTTCTGCAACGGTTCTTGTTTAGGTACTTGATGGAAGGTTGTCGAAGTAGCACTGGTATGAGATTTGTTGACCCTAAGTCGTTTACTAATTAGCTCACAAAGATGTTAGTCTTTGCTGATGTATATGTGAGTATTCTACATGCAAATGTTAATAATTTACTAATTGTAAGAGCAATCCGTGTCCGTCTTAAGTGTTGTGTTGCTTTTCTAAAGATTGACTTTGTAAAAGAAGTTTGATAGATGATCTTACATGTTATCAAGGAGAATTACAAGATATCTCGGGTTACAGAGTTAAAAACGGCCTTAACAAAAATCATTTGGAACTCCTCGATTTTATAACATTTTACTTTACAAAATACCATCAAAAATACTTAAACAATCAAGTATATTCGTAGTTATTAAGTACATAGCTATTTAATTTTTCACCATTATATGCACCTTTATTAGTACACCGTAAAGCACTCCTAACATTTATATAATGTTGTAGCTTATGACTTATAAGTAATGGTCATGAAATACACTTTATTGTGATATTAACATTATTGAAACTTGAACGGCAAAAACAATCAATTTAGTTTTTTAGGATTCGGATTTAGTTATATTAGTAAGTACATGTTTACTCACGGGTCTTGTCCGCCAGCGAAATAGTAAATAATAGTAAATAGCATATAGGCTCCGGCGAACCAGAGAGGTTGCATCACGTGCACTAAACGGCTTGGATGTGCAGAGCAGAACAGCTCTATCAGCATCACTACTGAGTTGACACCATGCAGCATTACATCCAGAACAGGATTTGGAGCGTAGTTTACAGATTTCTTTGCTGGAATGCAGATATGATATGATTACTAGATTAATTAAATTTGTAGCCTGCACGCGGAGCAGGCAGCCTGCCAGGAGTAGAAAACAATATTTCACTATTTATATATATATGTTTATTATAGTCAAAAATATTTCAATTTGCGTCAGTTTTGTTTCGTTGTTTAGTTAAGAATTGTAATATTTATTTTTACCATGGTCAATCGAGGCTAAACATAATCTTGAGAAGACATAATAAACAACCAAGGTAAGTTATCCCATTATGGTACCATCCTATTTGATAGTCAGTCATAGCAAAGGTTTGGATAAGTTCTTTGAAATTCTTCTTTTAAAAATAGTACAGGATGTGCGCTTCATATTTTAAAAAAATAACTGGCTGGTTTTTTAACGGTATATTCGGGTAAAAGTATTAGTTTTAAAAAAAAACTTGGGAAAAATTGGTTTGTGGCAAGTTATTGAAAAAATCGAACAGGTGCGAAAAACCGGTTTATTGAAAAAAAAAGGAAGAAAATGATAGTTGCTGAAGACAAATTTGTTAGAAACTTTACGAGAAAACACGCCTTTGTCTCAAAAAAACGTGATTTTTCACCTTTCATTTTCTTAGGTTGTGTGACTCGTGAAGTGTGTCTACAAAAGAAACAAAAACAAACAAGATATAAACTTGAAACTTGACTTTTTTATTTTAATTAATTATAGTTACATAAAAGTTATTGTGTAATAAATGTACAAAAAGTGAGTTTGAGAAATACTGTGTAATATTACTGTTCAAACTTATCAAAAGTGTTGTAGTTAAACTTACCAGTTCTCAAGATGCTCCAGTAGAACACTGTAATGAGAAAAGCCACCGGTATGGTAATGTTGTAAAGAAGCCAGTAAACCTTCACGTACCATGGTAGCCCGAAAGTAGCGTCTGCAAGTAAAATTAATCAATTAAATAGTATCAAGTAGTACAGTAGGCCACGCGTCACCTACCGACTGACGCAGGTGCTCACTGGGCATGGCTGCTTCGGTGAGTACCTGAATCGGATTGGACGCGAGGAGACGGCACAATGCCAGCACTGCGCGGCCGACTGGGACTCCGCCCAGCACACGCTGGAAGACTGCCCCGCGTGGGCATCTGAACGCGAAGTCCTGGTCGATGAAATCGGACGAGACTTGTCCCCGCCAGCAATCATTACTGCCATACGAGGGCTGGGGCGCAGTGGTCTCTTTCTGTGAAGCTGTAATGCTCCAGAAAGAGACCGCTGAACGGGATCGGGAGAGGGCCGATCCCGAGCGAAGAAGACGTCGACGACGTAATGAGCAGCCGACGGGACCGCGGGCCGCCAAAGAGTGGGGACCTCTGGTGGCAGATTAATTGCTGAGGTAGGGGAAAGGATGGCAGCCTGATCGCACTGAAAATGTGATTGGGCTGCAACATCTGGATAGGCTGAGAGGCAGGGAGAAGCCAATGGCTTTCCCTGAGATGGGACCTAGGTGCGGCGTCGATCTGGGAGACCTGAAATCACATGGCCCGGGTTCTCTCCAGAGCAGGGCGCCTAAGGCTGGCCGTCGGAGTGGTTTTTAGTGAAATCACCACATACTCCTGGCTCCTATATCCCCAAGGAGCCGGAGATCCGAACCGAGGGATTTTCCACTTCAGCCTTTAAAAAAAAAAAGAAGGCCAAAGCCTCCTTTCTAAGGAGAGGCCTATGTCCAGCAGTGGCCTAGTAAAGGCTGTTGATGATGATGATGGTATCATTTTTTATTTACAAAGGAATAGATTAGAGTATTTGCTTGAGTTGACTTATGTTTAACACGAATTACGCGGGAAAATTCTGTCCGATTACACATGTCTGTTTTTGGAAGCATCAGAAGCAAATACATTATATATGTTGTTGCAATTGAACGTTACGAAGACTACAAATTGCTTAAGATAACAGTAATTGATCATTGATAATAATTTTAAATTTACATTTTAAAGAGACCTTTAGAGCTTAAAGTCGAAAACAATTGTTTTCAAACTTTTGGTAAATGGGACTTCCAAGTCCATTAGTTATCTCCGTCTATTTTTAATTTAGAGTCTAACACAAGGTGCAATTTTTGTTAATCTGTATAATTTAACACAAAGATTTCTTTAAAGAAGTTGCAGGTATTACAAAACTGCTAAGTAATGAATGTATTCTAATAGGTACACCACAGTAATCGTTTTGATTACAAACCAACACATATAATATTATTTATTAAATGTCATCGTGTCTCCCGCAGGCACAAGCTACATTTTTGTTGACTTACATAAAAATCTGTTGCGTTCTAAAAGTAACGTACATATAATTAAGATTAATGTTCTTGTTTGTACACTAACTAAAGTTAAAGGTATTATTTACAAACAAATGATAAGAGGATGAGATACTGCGAGGTAACATGTTGACGAGACCTTAAATAAAAACAGTTGGAGGTCAGGCGCCCGCAGACGAACGTGATCTTCATTCCAGCACGTTTAACGTGAGGCTGGCAAATATTTCACGTCATCAATCATTCCTTATTTGGCAACATAAGACTTATTGTTCTATTTATGAGTTACTGTGCAGTTCACGGACGAACACCTGCTAAGTTATATGCAATGACCTAGTGTTCCGACCTTCAATAAGATATAATGTCATTGTTCTCAGGTGAGCATTTATTACACAATTTGTCCCACATAATATTTATATAATATATTAGCTCTTAAGACTACCTCGGTTGTCTTAAAAATCAGCTGACTACTAAGTGGCTTGTAGCCAATAAATACCCATAATAAATATGGAAACTAGGTAAATGTATTGATCTTTTACGTTTTCTAAATTCATTTTCAGGAGTTATCTAATACTTTCGAACTAACCAGAATGCATCGCAATTAGTTTTTTATCTAAGTATCTTAAGGTTGATTACTGTATTGATTATTAATGGATGATTATTTTTAGTAGTGTCTATAGCGGTGATTGACTCATAAGTGACCAAAAATACATAAAAAATCAAGTCCTGAAAGGTTAATGTCACAAAATCTTTCTTTGGCTTGGCCTTGGAATATTGCTTTATTTTCTACAAACCGTAAGAACCAATTTTGTTACAATTATAAATCTGATCTAATCTTTCTGCGATTGTGTAATAAGTAAACCTTTGAATGGTGCATTTTAAACTTTAGACAACTACAAATACTCGTATTGCTACTATATCAAAATAAACAATACGCGAACACATACATGTACATAAAAATTAGTCACACATAGAATTTTATTTCTAAAGAAAAGTAATAACAATAATATGTAATGTAAATATGAAAGTCATACCGATATGCCGTTTAAAATATGCCAACGCCGAGACCGCAGTTGCAAAGGCCGTAGTGAGTACGATCAGAAGGAAGCCCCAATGCGTTACGTACAAGAACCAATAGCCAAAATGTATGTTCAATGTCAAGGGCACTACGATTATAGAGGCGAGAAGGACACACGTCGAATATAGGAAGAGGAAAGTTCTAAGAAACAGCAAGTAAGCGGCGGAACGGTTACTTTGCCAACTGCTCATGTAGAAGTGCGTCGGTGACGGATGTTCTAGTAGACATTTCCGCAGCTGGCACTGACTTTTCACACATTCATTCCACAGCATATTGCACACAAGCACTCCACAAGGATTCGAATACACAATCACTTAGTTTTAGCATTACGAAATATTTTTTCGTACAATATTGATTGTTTACTTAGTCGACATGACACTATATTGTTTATCAGTAAATTATGTTATTAGATATGACCGGCTGCGTACATAGTTAGAGATAAACTAAGCAGTGAAAATGAAAATGTAGTGCGAGCAGTGAAGCGTATGGCCTGATCTTGTAACTAGACTCTGTCTGCAATGAACTTGTTCCTTATAGAAAGCCTTGGTGGCTTTGTGACACAGATTTATAATCACTTTTACGAAATATTGTTTTTATTTGGTTGCTTTATTTGATAATTACAATTACACGTCATTGCGCCTTGCGAAATAATAAAAATAGAAAACATATACTACTAGTATAAAAATCATAATTTTGGTACGCAGTAGCAATAAATACTAATTGTATAAAAAAATGTAGTGGTTTAAGAGGTCGCCACGCCGCTTCCTACTACATTGACACTTTGTGTGATCCACAAATTGTTGTTCTGAGTCTGGGTGTTCTTTCATGTCCGTTTCATGCATGTTTGTCAAGTCACCCGAGACACAGGATATATTCCTAATGCGGGAGAAGTCCAAAAAAAATATATCTTCAGTTCTTCGTTCAATTTTTCAATTTCATTTTTAATGAGGTCTATTCTTATAGGGAAGATATTCTTCAGGGAGGGGATTAGCTCCACAACAAAATAAACTTATGGGTATTTTAGATATTAACCAATTTTATTTTTCTATAATATTTTCTTCATAGACTTAAACATCGTATATCAGTGGTCTTTAATCTCTTAAAATTTGCAATACATGCCTCCTCCTCCTATTTCGCAAACACACATTGTCCTGTCTATTTTGATATAAAATATGATATTGCATAGATACATACGAGGGGTGATCAATAAGTAATGATAATCGAGTATTTCTAGAACGCACAAAAACCCAAATTATTTTTTTTCTACTTGCTTATATATCCACTACTTCAGCTTCAAAAAAATGTATAAATAGGACACCATTACCGGGAGATACATTCATTTGAATACGAACTGTCAAAGAGAAAACATCAAAATGGAGAAAAATGAAATAAGAGCTGTCATCAAGTACCTCTGCCTGAAAAAAATGTCTACCAAAGACATACACAGCGACTTAGAGGAAACATTGGGGGAGTCTGCTCCTCCATATTCCACAGTCGCACGCTGGGCAAAGGAATTTAAGCTGGGCAGAACCTCCACTGAAGATGAACATCGCGAGGGACGCCCTTCCACGTCCCTTACTGGAGAAAACGTCAAAAAAGTGGAAGATATCGTGTTGGCCGATCGAAGGGTGACCGTAAGGCATGTAGCTGAGGTCACAGGGATCTCCTATGGCAGCGTTCAAAAAATCATTGTCAACAAAATGCATATGAAAAAGGTCTCTGCGCGTTGGGTACCGAGAATGTTAACCGACGAGCAAAAAAAGAAACGAGTCGACATTTCGAGGGTGAATCTTCAAAAGTTCCAGGCCGATAAAGATTTTTTTTTGTCGCGTTTTGTGACCATGGACAAGACCTGGATCCACCACTTTGATCCCGAAACCAAACAACAATCAATGACTTGGAAACGAGCTTCCTCACCAACGCCGAAGAAATTCAAAGTGTCAAGTTCAGCGGGAACGGTTATGGCGTCTGTTTTCTGGGATGCAGAAGGAATTATTATGGTGGAATATTTGGAAAAGGGGGCCACTATAACAGGCTCTTACTACGCAGACCAAATAAGAAGATTGCGAGAAGCTATTAAGTCAAAAAGACGCGGTAAACTGCGCGCTGGAGTGGCTGCGATGGCTGCCATTGAAGAAACGGGGTTCGAACTGCTCGAACACCCTCCCTATTCGCCAGATCTAGCTCCCAGTGACTTCTACCTCTTTCCTCGGCTCAAAGAACACCTCCGGGGCAACAAATTTGAGGACAATAGTGAAGTGATGGCCGCAGTAGAGGCATTTTGGGAGGGTCAAGACAAAGAATTTTTTTCTAAGGGAATCATGGGCTTAGAAAAAAGATACACTAAATGTATTAACTTGCAAGGAGACTATGTTGAAAAATGAAATACTTTTTTTAATCTAATAGTTCTGTTTCATATTGATTATCATTACTTATTGATCACCCCTCGTATCGTGTATCCATTGTATTTACAATAAATATATAATTATATAAAGAAAACTCGATATCTATTATAGTTATCTATAATTATTGTAAAGTGGGTCATGTCAAATCGAGCCAACTTTTCATAGCCTACTTTCGTTAAGGTCCTTACGCAATTATAAAACTATTTTAATTTAGTATGTCTATTTTAAGGCCGGAATCTATTGTCGGATATAATAAAAAATACAATATAGGCTGAATTTTAATTATATAAATTATTCAAACCACGCGATTTGTTACTGTTTAAACGGACCTTGGCCGTATGTCAGACTCATTTTTTCAAGATGTAGGGGTCAAACAAGCAGATGGGTCACCTGATACAAATACAAATAACTTGACTGTTTTCTCTCACACAATTTACAAACATAATTTATAATAAATTGTAACAATCATAATTCATAGTGTCTAGCCGCGTCCATGCCACCTTTTGAGTCCCCTCCCAGAATTAAGTGGAGGGGTTGCTTGGGGCAACGTCGATACGGCAACGTCACTAACTCGTTGAAAAGCAACAAACGGTTTTTTTAACCCGTTTACTCTGAAGCATGACTCTTCCGAGATTAAATCGATTGCTGAAATCGTTATGGGACATTAAAAATTAGACCAAAATTGAAAAGAATATTACTCAGAATCTAAACTTTTCGTTCAGATCGGTTCGAAGTTCAAAGTAGTGAAACGAATGCCTTAAAATTCAGTCTAATGAAGAACCTTCCTTTCATACGATCTGGATCGTTTCACTAGTTAAATGCGGTGAAATGTATGATAGAACATAATAACCAACTATACTTAGGCAGTTTTATCTATCGGTCAATTCAGAGATAGATCCTGAATCAAGTTGTCTAAAAAAAGAAAGGGTTTATTTATTTCAAGTTTTCCTTCTCTATGCAGTGCTGTGGTCCTGCGTAGTTTGCTTCCTTAGTCGGCTCTTACTATTATTATACTCATTATTATACTCGTATTAAGACGCTGTCCGTCTGAATACGGAGTGTCACCACCCCTATTAATCCCGTGGGTGTCGAAACTTAATTAGCTCCTATTATATGACAACAATGTAACGTGTTTAGCAACGATTAAATCGGCTCAAATGTTGTGAAATATTGTTTTTTTTTATAGTTCCACGGTGCAATAAATATTGGGCTACATAAAGTTTCCTGTTTTAGTGACTTTGCGAAACAATCGATCACGCGTGACGGAGCCGGCTTGAAGCATCTGTTAATGAAGAATGTTGTTTAAAACTAGCTGTTGACAGCTAAATTAGGTTTCACAGATACACGTTATAGGATAGTCCTACTTTCTACTTATAAACACACAAAGAATAAAGTTACTAATAGTTTAAATTTAACTCAATATTTGGTCAATGTTATTTACATTACACAATAGCCCGCTAATCACTGTTTACATTTTTGCTTAATTACTTTACAGGCGATAGTACATTCATAATGTAACAATTACAAGCAGACATTGTGTAATAGATTAACAAAAAAAACAGATTAAGCTAACCTCTTTAATAGGCAATAAGGGGGCTTTACACATTCAAGAGGAGGAGAGTCATAATAGCTATAGCTAACAAATAATTTCGAACTAAAATAGCTTTATAGGTTTACCTACAATAATAATATACATACATTTACTTGACTGAGTCCGTAAATGTCACTAAAATACCTACGACCAGCGAAAGCTGAGAAAGAACAAATCCGGACAATACAAACAAAAACATATTCAGGTATTTTAGACCCATACAAATTCGTGTAAGAATTTGTATGGGTCTAAAATACCTGAATATGTTTTTGTGTTTACAAATTTATATAACCTAACTAACTAAGGTTATATTTAGTTTATTATTTTGTAACATCTCGCTCACCGCAAGCGACACGTTATCCTTCTTCTTTTAATAATTATTTTAATTGTTAATTTGAAATCTGTAATTGGATGTTTTTTTTTTAATGAAAAAATTGGATTTGCCGTTTTCATTTATACAGTCTTGGGTCTCCCTGGGAGAGTCCTGCAATTAACGAGATCGAATCGGGGATGAGGGTCAAAACTCATTCGTGTGACGTAATTTGTGTAGTAAACATATTCAAAGTTTTATTTAATAATTGTAATGTGTACAGCACTACATTATAAAGAGAGTTTAACTTGTTATTTCATTTTATAGACATCTGTACTATCATCATCATCATCATCAGACTATCGCAGTAAACCGCTGGACATAGGTCTCACCCATTGTACGCCACTTAGATCGATTTTTGATTTCTTGCATCCAGCTATAACAGGTCAAAATATATACTGCATTTCTATAGTCCCATGAAGCCGTTTTAACATAATATTTAAACATTTTATCACATCATAAAAAGTTAAGCTTTCGCACTTCTTCTACAAATAAATATTAAGTATTTCAAAGATGTTTGACTTCAAAGCGCCAGTTTTAGTCAAAAGAGGTACAAATAATTTTATTCACATACTTAATAAATGGATTCCAATGCGACTGTTAAATGAACTAGAGTTTCTCTCATCCTAAGTAATAATGATAAGTATTATTAATTATATTCCTTGCAGTCTTAATTCTTTTACAATTTGCTCGCAACTTTAATATTTCACCAGAACGTAAAAGTGGCCAGGATGCTATTTGAAACAAAAGGTGAAGCAACTTTGTCGATTAGTAATGCATCAGCACCCACGGAAAACTACAATTATTGTCTAATAACAGACGTATACAATGATAACAGGGAGAACTAAAAAAAGCGGACGGATGCATGAATAAAGTTTGATAATCGTGGTGTGAGGTAGATGTAAT